TCACCTAAGTCCCTAGAAACGACTCTGGAGCAACCACTCTGCAAAAGCTCTACAAGGTGAGTGGCACCCCACCTGAAGCGCTCGGACACACAGAAGCTCTTCGAAGGCTTGTCCGACAAACAGTGAAGCGCCTGCCGCGCCAGTCTGCCGAACAACTGGCCACTTGCGAACTGGGCTCGCCCTCGAATCTTTTCAAGCGTCGTCGCGTCAATGCTGCCCCGAGCGAGAACCTCTTCAAGAGAAGCAATGATTTCGTTTCGGCGTTTCAGGGTATTCTTCAACAAGGCGTAACCCCGAATGGCGTTTCCCACATCAAGCTCAATCCCTAACACCTTACAGCAAGTGGAATAGGGGAGAAGCTTATCGGTGGAAACCTTCCACCCAAGGAGCCTAAAATACACACTGATTACCAGCTCGACGTGCTTTGCTTCGCTGCTGCGGGCGATGCTAAGGTAGTCGTCGAAATAGACGGACCAAACTAGGAACAGCAACTTGACTGCTACCGTCCAGACGGCCACTGCGCATCTGATGAACGCCGTAACTGAAGCTCGCGATCCGAAAGGGAGAGCCCGCTGCTTGAACACAGCGGGCTTCTGGCTCCTTGGGTCGTAGATCACGAAGTAGGCATCTCGAGCAAATGCGGTGTCACTGAGAGGCAGTTGTTTATACGCAGCCTTAAGGTCCCACGTTTTGGCATTCATCGCAGACCGGACACGATGGGCCTTGGCGCGGGCTAGCCAAGACGAAATCATGCCCGCCACCACGTCAAGAGTGTGGACCGTGACTTGCTCCGATTGCGTCACGGCAGCATTAACTCTAGAGGCCCTATAATTATCGATTGGCCGCACCTTGGGCGCGCCATCAACCTCTCCCTGAACCACACCAAAACGGCGGGTAAGCGTGGCTCCCTCAGGAAGCGTGCTGGGGTCTATGGGTCCCTCGACTACACCGGCGTCTACTTCCTTAAGGGTCGCTTGCAGCACACCTTCGTCGATGACAGGATCATCCGCTGGCCCAACAGTCGCCAGAGTGGCTTCCCTTGCACGATCAGCACCTTGTCGCAAGTCTGCTTCGAGCATGCTGGCTGGTCTGAATTTCTTCTTGAAGAATCCACTTTCAGGCAACTTACCAACTAGGTCGAACCCTTGCACTAAGTCGTTGAAGAGGCCTTGGTCAGCGTGCTCGGCATCCTCAAGAAGGGTCCTGAACAGGATCAGGCGTTTTTGTGCAAGGATGTGACGCCGGTTATCGGACATTCCCTTTCGCAGCGCATCCTCTTCACCAACGAGGGAGTTCGCCCGTGCAATCCACTTTCTGATCAGCTCGGTCCGATGCTGCCCCAATGCGTGCTCGCCCAACTCAAAGTTTTTACGAACAGCGGTTTCAAGGTCTGCTGGGAGCAGGTTCGAAAGGCTGCTGGGGTGTTCAACATTGCACGCCTGCTCGACGAACTCCTCGGGCGACCACCTGACACCAAACTCAGCTGTAAACTTCACGGGCTGTGAGGCTGCATTGGCAGTGGCACAAGCAGATGTGACGAAGCCGAGCTCGTCCATGATCGCCCGGTCACATTGCTCTAGCTCGTCCAAACCTCCCGGGAGGAATGCAACTAGTACAGCACGATCTCCTTCCCAGCGCTCAGTCGCATGAGGCACACGTGGGTTGAAGCAAATTCCCCCGCCGTCAAAGGAAAGCACCGTGCCCATCACTCGTGTGCCGTCTATGGTCCTCGGCGAGCTGCCTGCTTTGTCAGCAAGCCACAGGCCACCTCGTTTGAACGACGTAATAGGCAGCACAAGGTTGTTAGAGCTAGGGTCGTTATGAGCATCCACATGTGGCTCAGCCAAAAGGTTCACCGTGAATGCTATCGCTCCAAACCTGTGCCACGGAGCTTGCTCGCGTACATACCGGCATGCCAAGGCGGTGGTCCAAGGGCAGCGCAGAGTTGAGTTTCGGACACCGACCATTGGACCATGGCTGTAGCCTCCGGAGAACCATTGGTGCGAGTCCTCCGTTTGGATACCTCGGGCCCTGGCTGGAAGGACTTCGGGTGTCTGTGACAGGACTTCGAACATGTCATCGGCCGTGAGCTCACCAGGCTGGCGGCGCGACATAATTTCGTAAGCTAGATGTTCACATTTCTGCGCATCGGCAGGCGGTGGTTGCGCCAACACTCCCGAACTCGCTAAACCTACCTGAGGCTTAGGACAAAAGGGAGCAGGCGGCAAAGGAACCCAAGCGGGACTAACCTCAGGATGACTATGTACCCCTTCGGCATCTGGCTGCACCCCTTGTGTGGAGATGCTAAGGACCTTGCTTCCAGCAGGAATGGAGAGCAGGTCCACCGACAGAGTGGACCCGGCAGGGGGAGTCCAATCCTCCGTTAGGACTTTCCGGCGCTCAAGGCCACTGACACAAGCGGGATCGCAACACCCTGAAACCATGACCCGGTTTTTGAACTCTGAGACCAATGGCAAGACGCGTTTGCTGGCCTGAACTCCGGAATACACGCGGGCTCCGGTCACTAGGTTATCAAGCTCGTGCAAGGACTGCGGCGCGTCGGCACAACCCAGATCAAGCAATTGTTTTCGCAGCAAAGTGGACATCTCTCGTGCGAGAGCCCAAGGATAACTAAGCTCGGCAGAGGACTTAGCGAAATCCCAAGAAGCGTGCGAATGCTTGCCGTCGCAAGTGCGTTGAAGGCAAAGGAAGGCAGGCAGTGTGTGCACCAACAGGGTCGCCTTCTTTCGGGAGTGGCCAAACATGCACTGGTGCAAGGTTGTGGCGAAAATTGGTACGTCTGTGAAGAAATCTCGCCACCACTTGGTGGCCCACAAAAAAGACTGAAGAGGCCCTTCAACTGAAAATAAAATCCCTCGCATGTACATTATCTTGCAGGCACGAGCACAAAATTCGAACAAGCGGTTGGCCTGGTTGACCCGAACTTTGTCTGCACCTCTCAAGGAAGGAAGCCCATGCGGATGCAAGTCATCACGAAGCCCGGCACCGCGAGTGGCAGTACCAGCCGGCGGTGACATGTGCACATAGACCAGGTTAGGCTCATTAAGAAGCGAAAGGAAGTGTTTTTGGCCCTCAGCAGTGCTAAGGTCCAGTGATACAATAGGACACACAGCTCCCTCGACCCGCGCATCCACAGCAAAAGAATCTTTCATTCCACATGCACGAAGAGCCGCAGTGAACCTCCCGGCCCCTGAGCAAACCTGAATGCAAAATGCTTCAGCGATGCTGAGTTTGGCCACACGTTCAGTGGCGCGTCCAAGGAAGGACACTCGCTCCTTCCCAGTCCGAAGCTCAGGGGCCCCAGGCCCTCAAGCGCCGCTTTTCTTGTGATGCTCCTGAAGAGAGTGAGGCTGCAAGCATCCCGGCTCTGCGCATAAGTGCAGCCCGCGCGAGCATGCGCTCCCCGGGGCGGCGTCTCCACAGCCGCACTGCATATTAAATGCCCAGCACAAGCGTTCACCATCTTTGTTCTGGCTCCACTTTCCAATCAACTCCTTCGGCACACGCAGCCTAGCACCACCTTTCTTACCTTTCCCTGTGCCTTTGCCCTTCTTACCTGGCTTATTCCCTTTGTCATCGGCCTGCTGATCCTCGACCTTCCTTTTGAGCGGAGGCGGCGGGTGCTTAGGTTTTTCGGGAATGGCAAGCGGCAGAAGATGAAAGCTGACATGTGTGTCATCGAGAATGTTCTCGAAGGCACGGTCCAATGGACGGACCCCATCCGCGCCTGTCTTCAGGCTACGCACCTTCTCAGCGATCCTCGTGAAAGCCGCTCTGTCAGCGCGGAGTGCCTGAACCACACTAACCTTTGCGTAGTTAGGCGGCGGCGCGTCCTGGACTCGCTGGATGAGCAGGCTATGATACATGTTCATAGCATCGTAAGAGCAGCAGCCTACGAGGTCGAATGCGAGCGCCCTTCGGCGGAGCGCTTGAACCAGCTCCAGCTCTCCGTGGGTATCACATGTGGCCTGCTGCGGCTTGTCTCGCACTGTCAAGGAGCCACTCCCATCCAACGAAACCTCCTTCACCGCCTTCTTAAGCTGAAGTTCATGCTGACGCGTGGTGAATTTGTTTGGATGCTGGTACACAAGCGTGTCTTGTTGCAACATGCCGTACACCAAATTGTACGCCTCGAATGCGACCTCTTCCACTCCACGGTGCGTTAACCCTGTGAGCCGGGCCCGCTGCCTTGTGATGCGAGCTTCGCGCTCAGCAGGATTCAGTCGCTGGGATGTTGGATCATCCCCTTTTTCAACTTTCTGCTTAAGATCTGCAACAACCATCGTGTGAGCCTCAAAGATCAGTCGCTTTGTGGCAGCGACGACACCAGCGTTGATTACTCGAGTACCAAAAAGCTCGCGGACCTGATCATTGGAAGGCGTAGCCCCTGGCGGCACTGCCGCAAAAGCTAGACGGGCTAGACTGTGGATGCCGGATCCAGTGAGGGCCGCGATGTCGTCGGCAGACAATCCGACCTCGGCCGCACGATCCTCGAAGGCCGCTCGGCTCTCGGTAAGAGAGGTCATGGCACTGGCACGGCTCAAAACAGCTAAACTCGGTACTGGCACAGCGCTATCGAAAAGATGATATTCCGAAACACAGGCTCGTACGAAGGCACGCAGTTTAGGAAGCAGTGTTTCCCAACTGAACGCATATTCATCATTCCATCCTGTATTCCAGTCAAGACCTAGAAGCCATAGCAATCTTGCATGTGATGTATAAACCCTTCGGCACCGGCACATCTCGGCGCAGCCGCAGTGCACGTTCACTCGGCCCTCTTGAGCACAGGAACATGTAGGCGCGCTCAAGTTGGTGGTAAGTCTTGCGGCCGGCACGTCTCGGCCACGTAGTCCCATCGGTCACTTACTCGATGGAGGCTGTGAACATGCAACAGCGACTCTCCACAAACAGACATTCACTTTGCAAACCACAAGTCGTCTGCCCTGTATTTTCTCAGGCGATGCCTTTCAAGTGCACCTTCACAAACTCTCTGCAGCCGACTTTCGCTGCATCATAGCGTTAACGGCCTCGGCCAATGCTCCTGGATCGCGGAGCGGCTTTGCCCCTTCACAGGTCTTGCACTTCCGAAACGACAAAAATTTAGTTTGGGCGACCTCCTTGAAATCGGACGTCACCTTCCGCCCACACGCAAAAACTCCGGTCGAACTGCCTTGTGCGCAAAGATGAACGACCTGTGTCCTAACATGTTTGTACATGACATATCCAGGTTCCCAACTTGGCTTGGGACGGGCGACTGCACACGCCATCTCGTCGTTGTCCAAGTCGGGGTGGTCCCTGCCTGCAACGACTTCGTCCTGCGAGCTACTGCTGTCCGAGGAGGACAGCTCATGGTCAGCGGGTGCTGCAACCTGATCTTCATCACTCTTCTCTCCGGCGGATGCTACACCAATGGCCTCAAAAGAACCTTCTGAAGCGAAGCTGGTCAACCCGGGATCAGGCACTTCATCATCAGAGACCTCCACCTTCGGAACCTGTGCAGTGCCTCGCACGCGACCCGAGCGCGTAAGGTCCGGGAAGAATGTTCCGTTTCTGATTGCAGCCAACATTTCATCATAGCGCCTGAGGGCAGGCGCCAAGTAATCTCGGCCATAGGTGTGCAATGTTCCTTCGCCAGTGGCATGGTGTCCAAGTTGTAACCGGGAATACTTATCGAAACCAAACTTACAGGCCCAGGTCAGTGTAGTGCTTTTCAAGCTGTGACCTGTGATCCCTTGGGATGGCTGCCCTCCCTTATCAAGAATCTTGCAGAGCCAAGCCCCAGCTTCGGAGGTGGTCACCGACCTGGACAACCATCCTCCGGTAACGTCCGGAGCGGGCAGCAAAGGCCCCTCAGGCCGACCTACGAATCCCAAACCTACTGCAGAAGCAACCTTGCTGAATGTAACAGCCCAGCTCACCTTACCTAGGCCGACAGCCGGTGCAACAAGGGGCATGGCAAGACCAATGGCCGCGACGTCCTTCTCAGTCTTGTGACTGCGAGTGCTGCACTCAAGGAAACCTTGCCCGTGGCTTTGCAAACAATCAAAATCCAAAATCCAATCCTTGACCTTTCTGAGATCACTAATGCGACTACGGCTGAACAAACCGAAGAGCATGCATCCTGCAGCGTAACGGTCGACTAAATCTTCATCCTCGTCGCTCAAGAAAGCCTCAAGGTAAAGAACGCTGTCAGTGGTTAGGACAGCGCTCTGCCTCCTCTCTGCTTTCTTCTGTATCTCCAGCGCAACAGCCCCACGAGCCCAAGGACTGAACAACTGCTTTCCTGAGAAAGGGTTCCTCAGAGATCCGTCACAATCGAAAGGCAAGCCAACGACATGCACTGAGAAATTGACAGCTTCAGTAAAGCTTGTGAAAGATCCAGGTCGGACCTTAGCTTCCTGTAGTTGCTCGATGTAATCATCGACACGCTTTGAAGTGATAGGCAGGGCACACTCGCCTGGGCAAGCTTTGTGTACCCACACAACGAACTTCTGCATTGCACTCCCACGCTTTGCGACGGTACTGGATGCTTTCTTCCCGAAGAGTTCACGAAGGCACTTCATGGCATCAGCTCCGTTTTTGCGGCTAATCCGTGATCCTATCGCAGAACAGCTGGAGTCCTCCATGATCACGAATAGCCACATTTCTAAAGCTCTGGTCCATTTGACTTCTTCAAGCGCAGCGTCAGTTTCCACAAGGTTGAAATTGACAACATCCCGAAAGCAGGCTCCCAGGGTGACGCTTGCTCTGGCCTTCTTTGCACGATGCGCACAGTCGCGCGAAGAGGATGCCTCTTCAACAGATTCCCTGACAGGAAAAGGCACCGCCTGTGGTAAAATGGCATCACTGGCTTTTGGAAGCACACTTGCACGAGAACCAAAAACCAGCTCAAGTCCCGGAAGTTCCCAAGGAAGCTTTGTGTCAATCACGCAACGCCCTAAACCTAACCCTGCGTCTTGTATGGCAACTGACATCCGCAAGGAAGCCTCATGAGAAAGCTTCTCCACACTGGCCTCCTGGACATCATCTTCCAGAAGATCAATGTCTTCCGGGAGGGCCATGCTAGTGGCCTCAGTTTCCTCCTGACAAGACTTGTCACACAGCTCCATCAGTCTAGTGCTCGAGAACGACGTCAGTCGTCTCACTCCGATACAAGCCTTCACAAGAAGCTATGCGATTCTGCAGAAGGCAGCTGCTAATGGACAGTAGCCGGCACAGACCTCAAGTCTATCCGCTCTGTAAAGCACGTCACTTAGAGCTTCAAGCACACGCTCTTCAAGGTCATGTAGCAGCTCACGGACTGCTCACTCGCTCAGTGGCTGAGCCCCGGCACCATCCATACACTACCCCCAGACGAAAAATTCTACAAAACTTTGGGGGTCCCACCCACCTCTCCCTTGAGCAGAAATGTTTCGTGAGAAACACTCTTAACATAGCTCACATGAGACAGTCACACACATGCCCTAATTTATTTCGAAAGCGAAATAAATTTGTTTTGCAGGGAAAATAAAAACTCATCCGTGCACGCGCGGAGATAGTTCTTGCGCGTTCTCGAGCTCTGCCTCTAAGGGTCGTTGGCTCAGCTGCTACTGACTGTACAACTACGACTAGTTACACCACTTCAGAAGGCTAGGAGCAGCCGACGAAGTGATAAGCTTGACTCACCCAAGCGAAGGCGCTTCCAAGGTTCAAGTTTTGCACTCGGCATACAAGTAACTCAAGGAACATTCAAGTGGGTTTCATGCAGCTCGCAGCTGCCCCCATCAAGACGTTGGTATTCCTATGGAATCCGCACACAAGGATTGCGATGCCTATATGCATCAGGTGGCACCATGCCTACCTATGGAGACTCCCAGCTGCTCCACAGCTGGCTCAGTGGTTGGTAAGTCAATGCGGTATTGCCACCAAAATGGTGGAGACAAGTTCTGCTCAACAAGTCTATGTACAGTCATTTCGCGGCCTTTGTACAAGATCCAACCGATCGGCTCAGTGCCAAAGCAATGAACCCATGGATTGGCGCATCATGAGCATTACTTCAAGTACTGCCGTAACAACATTTGCACTTCTTGAATCCTCGATTGATGGCTTCTAGCCTGCTGATCCTTTCAAGTGCCTTTGCGTTTCCAAGCGTTCCACATGTCCGCCTGTGATGATATGACTTGCCTCTGGATTTGGTAACCCATACAAGTTGCTCGGCCCTCCACTCATCGATGACGTGCCTCGGAACCGGGAAAGACATTGCTTTCGGCATCGCACCGGCACTCGAAGAGCTTGCACTGGGGTCTGGAGCATCATGATCATCGGCACGCGCTGCTGCGCTGCTGGACGCACTGGTGGCACTTTCTGCAGTGGGCTTGCTAAGCTTAGGGTTTTCGGCAGGTTCGGGACTAGCTAGCGAAACCGTAGAACCCTCAACCTTCACATGCACGGCAACACTTGGCGTGGGTGTGTTGCTGCTTGCCGCACTGCTTTCCTCACTGTCAGCTTGCTGCCTCAACACTGCAACGCGATTGCGACTCAGCAGTGTACAGCACAACATGATCAAGATCAGCAGTTGTATGATCAGCATAATCCCAGTTGGATACTCAAGTGCAAAATCGCGCACAAGGTAACACATGTACACAAACCATTCAAGAATCTGTGCAAACACTCCAAGATTGTCGTCGTCCTGGCTCAAGGCGTCCTCGGCATTTTGCGTATTGGGCTCATCGTTTGCACTTGCGACGCGATCAACTTGGAGAAGCATGGCTAGAACTTGGATGATTTGCTGGGTGCTAAGCGCTCCTTGTTTAACAACTCTGGACACATGCAGTTTGTCCCTCGCTGAGAGGAGATAGGACTCCCCGATAACACCATAGTTGCTGTCTGCACATCTAATTCCAATCATGCCTAGCAGCTTTTCAATCCGCTCTGCCTTCAGCGGCTTTGTGCCGAGGTCTGACACATTTTCAGCTGTAGGGATCGGCCCTACGGACAGCACATTGTCCTTAGTCATCTGCTGAAGCCAAAGAAGTTTACCACTGATGTGGCGCATTTTCCCAACTCCTTGTCGGCACGCCAGGGCTCGACATGCCGAGTTGTCTACAAGGCAAATCTGTTCAAGCGTGTAATCAGGAAGGAGGAATCGGATGCATGCTGACAAGAAAATACCTTCTGCCGCAGCGGACACAAGGGAATTGTATTCCGATTCTGCACTGCTCAAGCTGATGGTCTTCTGGGTTTTGCTATGCGCATATAGCAGCATGTTGTCCCAGAGAATCGCACAAGAGCTCACGGACTTCCTTGTTCTTTTGCAACCGCTCCAGTCGGAGTCTGAACAAACTTCAAGCACGGTCGTATTCTCCTCGCGGGACCTGTCGCACACGAGGCCCTTGCCGGACACAGGCTTCGAGAGCCCGATCACATGGTTGCGATGGCAATTGATGTACGATGCAACATGCCGCAACAACTTCCATGATCCTTCAGTAGGCGAGTGAGAATAGGTAGTCAGGTATCTAATCGCAAATTGACACGCCACAAGGTCTGAGGACATATAAGCGAGGATACCGACACCTGAACGATACCGGCTGGCAGTGGCTGCATCTAACTCACGATCAGATGCGAGCTCAGTGGGCAGACCTCCAGTCGGAAACGGAGCTGCTTTGTACCTTTCTTTTGCATTTGCTAACCCGGTGACTTGCATGAGGCGATCAAGGTATTTGATGTCAGGCTCTATCACTAGCAAAGTGGGGCTTACAAGGATGTGGCGCCTTTTCAAGAAAGATACTTGATCTCCTATGTGCTCAAGCCACTCGCTAGACACCTTAAACTTTGACTTCAAGTGACTTCAAGAACCTGCAACCGTTCAGTCTGGCCGGCAGCCAGCATGTCGTCCACATGCACATAGCCTCCGCCTGCTCCACTGGGCAGTCTGAACAATGCGGGGCTTTCGGGAAGCAATTCAACTCCGACAGCGACTTTCATTTCATTTGTGAAATCATTGTACCATGTCACACTTCCGTCCCGTTGTCCGGGGAGCATCCGCCACAACTTGAACCACTTATCACGTATGCGGGTGACCGTCGGGTGCTGCTGGCTGCACTGGAGAAAAGCATCGCTCACATCGAGCGCTAGCATCGACCAGCCTTCCTCACGGCGTCTCAGAAAGAGCGCTGGAATCACACGCAGCATAATCTGGTTCGTTGTTGGGCAAAACAACCCAGGCCTATCGGGATCTAAGTGTGCATACTCCCGCGCCACGAGGCGCGAACGCCTCAGCCAAACTTTCGATCCTTTGTAGACCTTCGGCCTCCATGTGCGCACGCTTTTGGTCGTAAGCGTTCTATGGCCTTCAAGTCGATCAGGCACTTCACTTATGACCCCAATTCCAGACAGCCGCTGAAACTCAAATGCATCTGCTACAGCATCTATTTCATCAAGTTCTACAGGGCTGCAAATTGGTTCACTTTCAGAAAATGGCCTAATCAAACAAGATGGCACTTCAAGCTCGGCTTCACTTTCATACTCAACCGAGTCAGCTGCATCAGCACATTCAAGATATTCTTCGGCTACCTCACCTTCAAGGACAACCTCTTCATCTTGATGAAACAACTGATTTCCGCTTGCATCTGTCTGAACAGCATCTAGCCTCAGTCGCTTTCTGGCCGGTGGCTCGGCCTGCACAGGTGCCGGGCGAACTGTTCCGCCAGTGCTGGCGGATCCATCGCTGCTGCTTGCAGCAGCAGGTGGTATTGGCGCATCCCCGCCAGCGCTTGCACTCTCTTCAACCAGCATCGGCGCTGGAGACTCCGGAACAGGTGACAATGCAGGAAGCATATCGGCCGGTGTGGCAGGCTCAGTAGCTCGGCCAAGCGAAGGATTCACTCGCAAAGGGGTCGGAGGCCCTGGCGAAATCAGCAATGGAGGTGGCGGAAGAAATGCAGACAAAGCAGTATCATCTGGCACAAGAGGCTCGGGACGCAGCATGGGCCTCGGCCCATCATTGGCAACGACTTCTGGCAACTTGGCTTGGTCGTTGGCCTCCTCACTCTTGCCTGCAATCGACTTCTGGAGCCTAGACTGCCCTGACTGCCCCGCCAGGAACGAGGCTTGTGTCCAAGGCATGTCGTGAACGTACTCAAGAAAATTTGCGTCAAATTGCTTAGGCAACCGCCGCACACTCCGGCTGGAAATCAGAAAACCTCCTTGCGTGGCCCCAAAATGCAGATCTGAAATTCCAAGCTTTCCAAGCGAAATCATCTGGACCCAACGCGCTTTCCCTTTGATTGAAGACTTCACTCTGGCATACACAACTTCGCAGAAATTCACTAGCTTGCCAAGATATGGTCTGCCGGTGATGATCTCGAAGGGGCTGTGCGCTTCAGTCCGCGCATACCTGGTGTGCAACCATGCTGCATGCTTCCAAGCCCACGCGTGGACCGGGGACATCGTTGAAATTTTCTGGCCCATTTCATGCTCGACCTGAGACAAAAGTGTCCCGGTCAACTGTCTGAGCTGCTCGACTCCCTGCTCTGCTGGATTGCCTTCATGGCTGTCCTTCTCGACTTGCTCAAGGTGCGTAACAAGCTTAAGCTTTTATTCTCTGCGTCTTGTTTATAAATGAGATATATGAAAAATCAATCACAAATATATTTGCGAATTGATAATCAAATGCGGCAGGCAACACTCGGACATAGTCTTCGTTTTAACTCGCAGTGGGAGCTGACAGATCGGTACCTTGCGAGGCCCAACGGCAGGGGTAGGCCATAAAGAACAAGGAGTGAAACTGGCAAAAGGAGAAAGGCGAAAAGCCAAAGGGTGAGGAGGGTGGGCGAAAAGCGAACTGAAGCCGAAAAGGCAACTGGAAAACAGAGCTTGGCAAAAGTTCAGCATGAAAAAGGGATGGAAAACAACCAAGGTTGGAAAAACCAAGTTGTTGAAAACAAGACTTGAGAATAAAAATCCGTCCTCCTTCGGAGGAAGTTCTTCTTTTTCTCTGCGTCTTGTTTATAAATGAGATATATGAAAAATCAATCACAAATATATTTGCGAATTGATAATCAAATGCGGCAGGCAACACTCGGACATAGTCTTCGTTTTAACTCGCAGTGGGAGCTGACAGATCGGTACCTTGCGAGGCCCCCCCTTGAAGAGAACCGCAAAGATCGGTCAGCAAGGATTGCACATTGAAGCGCCGCCTGGAAAAGGCGGGAAAACTGTGGTCGCCCCGCGAAGGGGCATCTGCAGGATTGCTTTCACTGCGAACACGCTCGAACCAGATCGCAAGATCACGCTCTTCTTCAGCCTGAAAGAGGCGGGAGAGAAGAGACTGCACGAAAGGGCAATCGGATTGTCCTCGGATGAGAGCTGCCAGTGAAGCTTCGTTGTCGACGAAGAGCACAATGTCGCAGTGGCGCAGGTTAGGGATTAGGGTGGCACCCAAGACCGCGGCAAGGGTTTCTAGCTCGTAGATCAAGGTAAGTTTACCATCAGGGTTGATGATCTCAAGGTCCTTGGAGGTGACTACTTCACTAAACCAGGCAAGGCACAGACCCTTAAAGTCGTAAACCAAACCACCAAGGCCACCCCCTTGATCGTCGTAGGAAGCGTCAGTGTACACGTGATACACTTGTCGAAGACTCGAGTCTACACACCTTGGTTTGCCAAGAACTACACGGTCCCTCAAGAAAGTCAAGGAGGCCCTTAAGCTAGCACCAACCACAAGTCTGCCGTGCTTTTGACAGAAGTGCGAGAGGTTGCGCATGTGAAGCGAAGCTGATCGTCCAAAGATTTGACTCTCGGCAAACAGGAGTCGCCCTCGTAGAGAGAGAAGCTCATTTTGGCCAACAAAGCCTCGGGTCAGGACCTCATCGATGGATGAGCAGAGTTCGCGTTTGCGGGCCTCGGTATTCTGGACTGAGATCAATCCATTCTTAGAATCAGCCAAGGATATTTGCACTCCTAAGACTTTGGCTACTGCATCAAAACCACTGTCTTTTTCGGAGGACGTTTCCCAGGCAACGATCCTGAAAAATGTTGACTGGACTAAGTCAAGATGTTTTTGCTCGTCGGACGAGCAGGGTAAGACGAAATCGTCAAAATACAGAGACCATGGCAGGATCAGGCTCCGGACTCCGATCCACCAAAGGCCGAAGGCAGTTCTGTAGAATCCCTGAACGGCCGGCTTGCTGCCGAAGGGCAGCACAACTGTCTGGTATATTTCAATTTCCATGCTGTGAGGGTTAAGCACAGCTATGAAAGAATCATACAAAGCTTCAGTGCTTAAAGGAAGTTGCTTATAGGCCTTTCTAAGGTCTATCGTCCTAAGAACAAGTTGCTCGCGCTTGCCGAGTTTCCGGGCCGACCTGATGCGAAGGCACAATGCTGCGACCACAACGTCCACCCCGTGAGGGCAGATCGTCTCGCTAGCACTGTTTGTGAGATTAGCAAGAGATTCCGTGTAATCATCGATTGGTCTCACCTTCTTGATTGACCCTAGCTTGGCATCGGTGGAGGATTGCACTATCCCAAACCTTCTAGTGACTATGGCATCCGGGGGGATGTCCGATTCCTTAAAAGGTCCTTTAAGCCACCCTTTCGCAAGCTCATCTTTCGTAAGCTGGTAAACACTTTCAGCCACCTCGCGGTCGAAACCTTCTTTGGTAGAGGCAAGGATGGCCTTCCTGGCAAGGGGAGTGGCTGCACGAACATCCTCAACGGTAAGCGAGGCAGCGGAAACCTTAGAGGGAAGGACTCCAGATGCGGGTATGGGGCCTAGAAGGTTAAACCCAGTTGAGATGTCCTTGGTCAAGGTTGTGTCCGGGTACTCGGCCTCAGTCAAGAGCGATTTGAAGACCTTCATAGATTTCTTACCAAGAACTGCGGCACAGTGGTCGGGCATGTCGGAGGGATCTGCACGGGAGACCGCCTCCTCGGAGGTAAGCATCCACCTCCTCAACGTAGCAGTGCGTTCCCTGGCAAGGTCGGCAGGTGACTCCTGGGCGCATCGCACAATGGTCTCTTTTAAAATCTTTGGCACACCATTTTCGATACGCCTGGGGTGTAGAGCTCCGCGAGCCTGTTTGACGAACTCTTCTGGGGTCCACGCGATACCATAAGTTCGCTCCTCATGCGGGGCTGCGCCAAGAGAGTGGCCATCGCCAGGCTTCGAACAGGCATCAAGCAGGGCGCCAGGTTTTAAGGAGTCGTCCACAGGGGAGGAAGGGGGTAAACCCGAACTAGCGGAAGGGGCTAAACCCGAATTATCAGAACCAAGTTGTCGAGTAGCACTGCAGGGACCCCCAGCAGACGGCACAGTGCGAATCAGCTTGGCGGTCTTGGGTAGCCGCTTTAGGGAGGGCTTGCACAAGACTTTATCAGGAATGGCCCAATCTTCCGAGAGTTGCTTCGGGGGCATAGCACAAGAAGGGCCAGTGACCGTGATGATGGACTTGTACTCAGAGACCAAAGGCGGAACACGTTTGCCTTTGGGTTGCTTTCCGGAGGCAACCTGAGCGGCTCGTGCCAACGGGAGCCCAAGCTCCTGAAGTTCTGCTGCTGGAAACCGAGCACCCTGGTGTTGCAATTCAACAGCAAAGGCCCTTGCTACCATGGCACAAAGCTGACCAGGGGACGAAGACAAAGGCAACGACGGATCTGGTGGTTTGCATCCCCCTCCACACGGAAAGCTAAGGCTTGACAGTGCAGGGAAGTTGTGAAGCAGACGCCTATGCTGACACAGCCCGTCGTGCACGAAGCAAGGACTGTAGTGGGTGGAGATTTGCGGACAGGCACCCCGGAGGTCACGAAGTTTCCAAAGGTTGGAGCTGCACGGGGCGTCAAGGCAGCAAAGAAGACCATTGGCGCAACACTCCGTGTAAATGCTTACTGCAAGGTCACTGAAGTTGGAAGGAGGTGACATGTGCACAGCAACAACATTATCCTTCGAAAGGATGTCTCGCAAAAGCGAAATGCCACTGTCAGTGGAAAGATCCAACGGAACAACAGGAGCCCGAGTGTTTCGGGGATGACGATTGATTGCAAAGCCTTGCATGCCGAGGCTGCGCACAGCCGCACACACACCACCATGCCTGGCAAAGATTTCAAGGAATGCTAGGTCACTCGAGGGACGGTTAGAGATACGCAGTTTAACTCTGTCCAAGAAGGGTTGCACAGTTGGCGGAAGAGGCTCCAGCACGGGAGCACCATCGGTACCACACTCAATGGAAGGCAAGGGCACACCCAAGGATACAAGAGCACTGCGACAAGCCAGAGGCATCGACTCGTGTCTAGCAACCGAGAACCCGACTACCACTACACGAGACCCCAAAAAAGGCATTGTGCAGTGTCTGTGTTTCCAAGCATCGAAAGTGAGATGACTGAGGGAGACCTCGTGTAGCTGTCCAAGAAGTTGGGCACCTGAAGGATCGGTCACTGGATGAGGTCCCTCTCCCTCGAGCCAAAGTTGGCCACCTGAGAAGGAGTTGACCCCAATCAACAGATTGGGAAGGTGCGCGTTGTAGCTGTCGCGATGCAGGGCTGTCTGCGTGTCGACAAAGAGAGCAGCACTGGTGCACTCGAAGGAAGGACTGATGGTTCTGATGAAAGCAAAAAGCAGAGAAGACGAAAATGGAAAGGATTTTACATTAGATCGAAGGGCCGTGATACCACCTTTGGTGTACAGACCCGTGGTCCACGATTGACCGGCACTACCTAAATCCCGAGAAGGCTGAGGAGCATCAAAGGGAAGAAGTGTGGAAAGATGCAAAACGTCCTTGCGCGAAGGAGCGGTGCCAGATGTCAATACACCCAGCGAAAATTCCTCGGCCGGATGTTTAACCTCGGCAGAAGCATCAACCTTGTCAGGCAGCAAAGGAAAAATGTCATCTAAGATGGGGATAGGGGAGCTTGCACAAGGAGCCGGTACCTGAGGTGCCTCGTCAGTGCAAGTCTCCCCGGACTCGCGCGAGAGTCAAGAGGCAGAAGCTGCAGGGCATTCGAACTGGGGGTGAGGCTTCTCGCAGCGCATGCACAAGTGAAGACCGAAGCGACAAGCTTTGCCAGCCTCAGCATGGCTGCACCCCCTGTCTTTGATGTTGTATGCCCAACAAAGTCGCTTGCCTTTCGAGGTCTTCTTCTTAAGGTTTGGAATGTTCTTGAGGGCATCAGGAAGCTGGGACTCTTTGCGAGGCTGGCCGTCAGAGTCCCTCTTGATACCTTTATCAAGGCCCTTACCATTGCCCTTATCCGGATTCGGGGTCTTCTGAGGAGGATCAGGCGACCTCAAAGGAAGGAGGTTGAACAGGACAGCAGGGTCAGTGCGAAGACCCGGGAAGGCAGCATCAAGAGGCAACACGCCGGCACTATCCCTCTTAAGAGTCTTAACCGTCTCAGCCAACTGAACCCAAGCCTGACGATCAGCCCTCAACAATTGCTCCATGGAAACTTTGCTGCACCTCGGAGGGGGAGGCTGAGCCATGCGATCGAACAGAAAGCGGTGCCAAGATTCTTGCACCTGGAAGCTGATGGCACCCATAAGGTCACAGGCTAAGCTCCGACGTGTAAGAGCCTGCCAGAGCTGAAGTTCATTGGTGATCTGGCAACGATCACGACTCTGCTGATCACGAACAGTGAGCTTGGTGCCCCCATCGAGCACGATCTCACGCTTGGGCTTTTCTCTGCAAACCTCCTGTTGCCTGGTGATGAACCTATGGGGCTCCAAGTAAATTGGCGAGTCGGCTTCAAGCATGGAGCCCACAAGAGTGTAGCAGGAGTATGCGCACTCCATCGCGCCGGTTAACTCAAAACCGACAAGCCTGGTCTTTTGAGCGGCAATGCGGCTGGTGCGTTCAGCAGGCGGGAGGTCGTACTTCTTGTCCCCCTCATGCCCTTCGACTGAGAGCTTAAGTTGCTGCACAACACAAGTCTGGCACTCAAACACACAGCGTCGAATGGATGATAAGGCACCAACTGAAACAGCTTCAGGAGTGGCAGTATCCAAAAGCTGACGAAGGGCAAGCTCCGTAGGCTGCACACCCGGGGTGGTGACAGCATAGGCCAATGACGACATCGTCGAGACACCTTTCCCTTTCAGGATCAGCAGCTGTGCACTTGAAAGGCCACATTCCGTGGCAAGTTCTTCAAATGCCGCCTCAGATTTCAGCAGGGACATGGCTGATACTACACGATCCTAGAGCCCAAGCTTCGTGAACGATGCGATGGCTCCGAAGAGGAAGTGGCGAAAAGCCACACAAATCAGCAGCAACTCTCGAGACTGCTCCCGAGTAATGGGTGACAAACCCATGCTCCGAAGAGGAAGTGGCGGAAAGCCACGCACTTTAGAAGCAACTCCCGGAAGCAACTCCCGAGCTTCTGAAAGATGGGTGTCAAACCCATGCAGCGGGAAGCCGCTCATAAGAAGATCTCTTCAAGATTCAAGTGAAGTAATACTTCGCACAGGAAGAAGGGTGACAAACCCGACCATGAAGTCGCACCGGTCAGTGGAAGCGGCGGAAAGCCGCGCGCAACAGTCAGCATGCGGAGGCAGATGAGTGACAAACCCAGTCACGATTTCTTTTCTCAGCAGCCGACAAGGCGCGTCAGGTTTAGGCAGAGAGGTGCCCAACACATTGCCATTTTTCCTTCTGAAGGAAAGTTAGCACAGCACGTTAAAAGAATTTTCTTGACGCCGAAGGCCCAGCGCACTGGGATGTCAACGCTTGCCCAAGGCAGCATCAAGCGCACCGACAAGGGCGCCGGTGTTGCTAATCGGCTTTCTCTGAGCGCATTGCTTGCAGTCCCAAGCGGTGATCTTGACCAAGGTCCTGAAGGGGCGATGGTCTTTGGTGAGAGGCCTGCCACAGACAAACTTATCATCGCTCGAGTTTTCAAGCATGCGATGCACAGTCTTTGTCCTGCAATGCTGGTAAAGCTTGCATCCCTCCACGACGTGATGCCTCAATCTGCATGCTAAGTCGCTTGCTGCCTGGACCTTTTCATCAGCACTTGTAGAGCTCGAAGAAGAGCTGGAACTCGAGCTCGATTCAGAGTCTGAACCGCTGCCATCTCGGTCCCCCTCCGCATGGGGATCATCAGAAGCCCCCGTTTCGGGCGGAGGGTCTGAGAGACCCCGGGGCTCAAGCTCACTGCCACGGCTCGCGTTGATGAAAGCATCGACGTCGGCATCCTCCAGCTCTTGGTTGCGGTACCACGCCAACTCCTCATCAGGGCCAACCTCGCTGCCCATGCTCACAGGCTCTTGGACCTCACCTAAGGCGCCGAGGCAGAGGTCAGGGCTGAGGGCCCCATCAGAGAAACCAGGAAGAGCATCAAGGGCCGGCTCCACTCCTGGATCATCGACTTGACGGACAAAGCGGCCAGAGCGTGTGCAATCAGGAAGGAAAGCTCCAGACCGAACGTCACATAGAAGAGACCACAGCACTCTCAAAGGCCCAGCCTGAAGATCTCTGCTGTAAGTGGCCACGCTTTTGCTCTTAGGCATGTGATGCCCAAGAATGGCCCTGTCATCCTCAGAGCCGCCCCATTTGGCCAACCAAGGAAGTAAGGTAGACTTTGCTGTGTGGCCGGTGAAGTGACCTCCGAAGAAGGGGAGATCCTTAAGGATGCCATTGATCCACACCACGAAGGCTTCATTCTTGATTGGATGGTTGAGCAAGGAGCCCACAGACGTGGGCACACACAACAGCGCGGAACCATCGTCCTTTTGAAGAAGGTCTTGATCCACTTGCCGTGCAACCTCCAAGAAGTCAAGCCCCCAGATGCGAGGCCCAAGTCCTTTAACGTGAGCCACAAGAGGCAACCTGAAGCCGAGCGCATTGCTAAGAGACTTAGTCTTATGGCTATAAGAGTAACACTCCAAAAACCCTTCGGCGCAGTCTGCAGATGGCTCTGCAAGGTCAAGCGTGAACCTTGACACGGACTTCAAGTCGCCTAACCTCGCCCTGGCAAAGATCGCGAAGAGCATGCAACCAGCGGCAAATCGGTCCAAAAGTGCATTGGATTCGGATGCAAGGAAACCCTCGAGGTGAAGCACTTCTGCAACGAGAAACGAGCGAGCCTGCCTCCTGGGAGGCTTGTTCAATCTCTCGCGACGAGCACGTCCTGTCAGGACCGGGTCAGACCGGAGAGGCTCATTATTGAAAACACCAAGGACATAGATCGCAAAGTTGAAAGACTCAAGGTTGCTGGACACTGACCCATGCCCTTTGGTCTTCACTGCAAACTCGGTATATTGCCGCACAAGATCCGAAGAAAGGGGGAAGCCTATGCATCCTGTGTCGTTGCACCAAGTGACGTACTTGGATAATTGCCCGTACCTTTTCTGGAGGGTAGACAGGGCTTTACCCCCAAGTGCATCCGAGACAAGTTGCGTTCCCTTCTCAAAAGACTCCTTGGCAAGTATCCCCCCTAGCCTAGAACCCGAATAAGAGTGCGACAGCAACACATGGAACCGCTGGCAAAGCAGCTCACGTTTATCAAGAGGGCTGATCGGAGCCTTCACCACTCTGACCTTTTGAGAAACGGCTTTAAAGAAGCTGCAGGATCGAGGCTCCGGCCTTGCGAGCTTCTCCGCTTCACCCAGGCTCGAAGCTGAAGAAATGGGAATATCAAAAGGAAATTTCACTGAAGGGATGATCGGGGCAGCATGCTCCGGGCAGAATATCTCTTTAAGAATGCCTGACTCCCACGGTAGCTCCAGTTCACTGGAGCCCGCAACACTGTGACTGGACTCAAGCAGCAGACGGTCTATGCTCTTAAGGAACTCAGAGCGAGACCCCGGGCCTGATGTCGCAGCTGAAGTCGAGGAGCCCCCAGCAGAAAGAGACTGAGGCTGCATTTTGTAGCGTGTTTTGCAATGATGCCTTGCTAGGCCAGCCTACGGCAGCAAAGCCTGAGCACGGTCAAGAATCGTTCCAGCAAGCCAACACGAGCTTGCGTTTGGGCTGCCTGACTCTCCAAGAGGTCCAAGCGATCTTCAAGTGTTCTTACTCTACTCTCCACAATGTTGCATTCAATCTGAAGATCGGAGAGATGTGAACTAATCGCTTCCCAGGTGGAGCTAGAGGAAGCGCTCACACTGGAAGGCTCAGAGGCAGGCAAATCAGGAGGCCTTGTTCCCATCTGGCGCCCTCCGAAGGGGCACCGTGCACGAAGCTAAAGCCTTGAAATTAGCAGCTCGAACCTCGCTAGAAAGAAGTGACAGGACTCTAGAGGCCTCACCGAAAAGCGAAAAGCGAACTGAAGCCGAAAAGGCAACTGGAAAACAGAGCTTGGCAAAAGTTCAGCATGAAAAAGGGATGGAAAACAACCAAGGTTGGAAAAACCAAGTTGTTGAAAACAAGACTTGAGAATAAAAATCCGTCCTCCTTCGGAGGAAGTTCTTCATCCCTAAAGTCCTTTACACCCTGTTGCAGCGCTCGGCAAGTGGGCTCGCCGTCAGATCGCAGGGTGACTTCGGAATGACCGCAAAAGCTGATGAACTTACAAAGCTCGGCAACTAGAAACCGAAAAGCTACCGAACCTCCCTTGGCAGGTGTAGGGATAGCAGTACAGGCACCAGTGTGGGCATCCTTGGCGATTAAGCAAATAAGCTTTTCCCCGCGTTCACCATCAGGCCTCTCAGTGAAGCAATAATCAAATGAACACACGCTGCACTGTCTGGTCTCAGGCCTGGCTTGTGTGTGCTTGTCAGCACGGGCCTGGAACTTGATGCAGTGCTCACACCACGGCTGGTACGGGATGTGATTCAGGCAGTGCAATCTGATTTGCTCGGGCGTCGGAGAAGCTACTGGGGCTTGCTGACGCGGCTCGCTTTGCAAAGCAATCGAATCATGTTGGACTTGGTGACGCTCCAGCAACTTAAGCTTGTCAAGATGGCTGGCTATCCTCGACAACACCGTGGCTTTGCCGCCACTCTGGCCTATGCCTAGAGCTTTGCACGCAGCACGCAATGTCTTAAGATTGCAACCTTCATGCAGCTCAACTCCATCAACAACGATGTGGCCTCTGGCGGGCTCTGAGTTGTCTGGCGCTGCACTTGCGTCGGCACCGATGGGGGCTTCACCTGGGTCAACCTCTCCAATCCCTCCGGCCGGCGCATCTTCAAGCAATTCATCAAGGGACTCAGCAGGGAACTCAGGAAGCCCTGCTTCGGACATGTTTGCATCCTGCTCGGCCTCTGGCGGGCCGGTTGCAGTTTGATTAAACAGCACATCAACATCGATCTTGTCACAAGACGCAATTGTGATCACATGCCGCGTTTGCTTCGGCTCGAACTCGGCTTCGGGCTGTTCAAGCAAAGACAGATCCTGATTCAACTCGATGACATTCCAACTCGAACCGTCCTGCACAAGCGTCGTGCGGTACTGCACTCCAAGGCTCAGGTGAGGCACTGACAATGCCACTGAACAATCAACGAAGCAACCGCTGAAGTCCCGCCGGGCATACACAAGAGGAGCAACTTCATGAAATTCCTCAGACAACTCAAGCCATGGGCCTGAAACCTCAAGTGCTCTGATGCCTGGCTCACCATCGGCCTCGGAGGCCGTGACTCCTCGGATGAAACCTTTTGCATGCAAGCTGTAGTTCTTGTAAAACAGTGGGACGCGGACTCTAGCGTCAGGGCTCGTAAGGTGTGGAACCCTGTCAGCATCATGGATGATGTCCCAACCGTTTCGCTTCATCAGCTTGCCAACACAAAAGAGAGGCTGGGTAACGCTCGAAAGCAGCCAATGCTCACGGAACTTTACCCCAGCAATCTCAATCGTGGCCGTGCGCATCTCTCGGCCTGATATGCGGTTTCCTTGGGCATCGCGGTACCACTGGGAGTCGGCACCGCCGGATTGCCCGATCGTTCCCCAACTCATCGGCAAGCAAGAAGCATCGGACCCTGAGTCCACAACAACCTCGATGTCAACCGGTTCGGCGTGCGCTGCCGCGCCGCTGGAACGCTGCACGGCACACAAACTTCTGGCTGCTGTGGCTGCATCCAATGCCTCGATGGCCTCTGCAAGGTCAGGCAACTCGACAGGGCAAGGCTTTCTGGCGTTGTCGGGTGCAGCACATTGCAAATCAAGAGATTCGCCATGACAGATTGTCCACTCTCCATCCCCATCTGTCCATGCTAGGTCATGGCACACAGCTGTGGTCACCGGCTGAAGATTGGGAAGCTTAGGGTACCCGTGCGGGTTAAGGGCTAGGACCTTCACGAGGTCACCAAAGTCCAACAAACCCTGGGCTGCATGGCTTCCACCACATCTTTCCTCGTCGGCACCTGCGCACCTGACTGCTCGAACACTTGCAGGCACGTCAAAATATTGGATGGACAACTCTTCCTCGGTCATGTCAATCTCAACTGACGACTCAAGCTGCACACGATTCACATTCTTGGCAGCACTCGGACCTTGAACCTGTGAGGCAGACGGACCAACGGTGCTAGGCGCAACTGTGCTGGCTGCATCACTACCTGCATTCTGGACTTGCTGGACTCGGTACCAGCACTCGCTTTGATAGTGACCCTTCTTGCCGCACGAGTGACACACAACATTCTGCTTGTTGCCTGATGGCTTGCCTGTCTTGCCACCCTTGCCTTTGCCTTTGTCACCTTTGCTGCCTTTTCCTTCGGGCTGCTTGCCACCCTTGCCTTTGCCTTTGTCACCTTTGCCGCCTTTTCCTTTGGGCTGCTGGTTGCCGCCCTTGCCATACTTGCCTTTATCACCTTTCTTGCCCTTTTTCTGAAGCGCATCCACTTCCATAGGCACTGGACCATCATTCGATGCACGGCTTTTGGAAAACAGACTGTCCCCTGCAAAAAGATTCTTAGAATCCCACTTAGTATTCATGCGCTCAAAATGCAAGGCTGTTTCCCTCAAGGTATCATACGTCACATCTTCAGTCAACACTGTTGCAAGATGGTTCCTCATGTTGTTGCTCACTGATCTCAGGAAAATGCTTGATTTGAAATCATCGTCAAGCTTATTGGCGCTGCTGCGCTCGTACTCGTCAATGATCCTTTCCATATCAAGAACTTGCGGCAGCAACGGCTCGTTAGCACGAAAGTGGCTCATGCTTGTCAGGGCGCTCAAGATTCCAAGCGATCTAGTCTTCGAAGCAGGCTGGTAAAGCTGCACAAGTTGGCGCAACGCTTCAAACCCATTCTGCACTGCAACTCTCTGGATCAACTGAAGACCACGGCCTTTCACGAGGCTCGCAAGCAAAGCAAATAGCTGCTTGGACCTCTGCTCTGCTTCAACGCTCGCATAGGCTTCCCCTGTCATGTCCTTGGTGGGGTTGTGCTCAATGTAGCTCAAATCATCAGTGAAAGCAGGATCTAAAGCACTGAGGTACTGCTTCAAGCTCCACAGCCACGACGACCATTCGCCGTGCTCAGCTTCACGCGTTGCAGGCTTAAACACATCTGGTTTCGGCAACAGACGGGACATGTCGCCTCCACCCAGACCTGACTTGCGCTCCTTGGTTGCTGCGGCCAGCGCTGCTTGCGCGGCTGTACTCGCCGCTGTTGTTGCTTCCATCATCTGTCTCATCATCAGCACAAGATCGCTCTGGCTGATATTCAGCATCCCTGCTCCACCACCTGTCGGGCTGAACGGGTTCCCCGGAGCCTGCGGGGCTTGAGGGCCCTCAGCAAGCTCGGGGTCATCATCATCATCCACACCTGCACCTGGTGCAACACCTGCGCTTCCACTTGCCATTGTTCAGACAGCAATGCTCAATCAAGATCAATCGGCTCTTCTGCAGGCTGCAAGGCACACTGAAAAGAATCTTGCAGATCAATCGACGCACTCCCTGGTATCAAGGGTTGCTCAAACACTCCTAACGTCCGGTCCTGAAATGCAATGTCACGCTCGCACTCTTCCTCAGGAAAAACAATCGCTGCTTGCACGGCTTGCGGTGTAGCACTGTTGAACACGTCCTCAAAACCAAAGTATCTGAAGGCTTCCTTTAAATGCTCCTTCTTCAAGCACTTTTCCCCGAAATGCCAAACAGATTCAATGGTTTCCAAACTTTCAAGGTGATTCTCAAAGCTTACCCTATAGGTGCTAAGGATGTTATCCCAAGAAGTTCCTGAACGGCCGGCTGGCCTAGGACGTTCACACAGCTGCTCAACGTAATACGAATGCAGCCGCTCTTTGAGCAATGCAAGGCCTTCACAGGTGGCCGTTGTAGCACGATATGGCGACCGCTCGGCAGCGGTGTCTGCAGCTACCCGCCGCGCTTACTAGATTTCACCGAAAGGACCCTGAACTCCAGAGAAGCTTTCACAACCTGAGCTTGGGGGATCCCGCAAAGCAAGAAACCGAAAGCTCAACCCACGTGTCTCGGGCACCGGGCTTTCCCAGTGCTCCGCTACCATGAAAATCTTTTGTGACTCTGAAGAACGCCTGCGGGTAATCAACATGTCTTTCGCATGCTCAAGTGAAAATGAGTGCATCACCGATAAAACAAATACATCACAATACGGTATGCTACATGGAGAAATCATAAACAGGATGCATCGGTGTTGGGCATCCAGGTGGATTGATTGCTTAGCTTTCTGAGTCCGGGCTCCATTTTGCACAAACCTCGGCAATTGGATCCACAGCATCTGTGGCGCCTCTTGTAGCGCGATGACCCCGTGCCAGGAGGTAACCGTTTCCTGTAGTATCGGCGTTTGCAGACCAGTCGCGGGATCGAGGATTAACAGTCGGGAGTCCTGCATTGCCTGCAGGTGTTGGTAGCCCCCATCCACCTGCACTCGGCGGCACCACGAAACTACACTTGGTACCCAGCTCAGGCTCCGAAGCAGATGCGATGCAAGCTCAGCCACATCGTGTTGCACATGTGGTTGTCCCCACCCCAGCAGGTGGAACCTGAGTAGAGCAAGCGGTTTGATTTCCGCTTTACCAAGGGCTGTTAGCCAAGCCTGTGGCAAAGTAAGTTCACTCGGCATCATTGTCACCTGCCACATGAGTGCATGAAGAAAGGCATTGATATAGCACGTGTTGGAGCTGTTGTGGAGTGAAGCCTGCAGGATCAAGTGTTGTGTATTATTAGGGGCCGGCCTTCCTGGCTGAGCAGCTTCATCAGCTCCTGCACTGGGTTGGATCGGCGCATGCCGTCCTTTCTGAGCTGGCACCCTATGAGTTGCCATACTGCATTGTTCTCCAGCTTCGCGAGGCTCTGGTAGAGTTGATCCGCTTCTGTGCTTCGGAGGGAGACCTCCAACTTGAAAACTGCCTTGTTTTCCGTCTCCGGTGTTGGCTTGAGCTTTCGCGGCGCATGAAATCCCAACACCAAGGACTCCAGAATGAGCGGCTCGATCTCCGTCAGGGTTAGCATCACCTCTGTGGTCGTGAGGCCAGGCATCGTGGGATGAGGTATCAGCTTTGTGTTTTCTGCGTCCCACTTTTGGTACTGAAGCCTGTCCTGCTGGTCCAGCCAACCCGCACTGATGGCCAGTTGCTTTGCCTCCGGCTTCTTTTCCAGATTCTGGAGACGCACCTTTAGCTCCGCGATCATCAAGGTCAGCAACGTGATTCGTAGCGGTTGTGTGATCTTCGCCGGCTCGGTCTCCCGTACCTGATTCCAAGCGAGACTGGCCTTGTAGAGGCTGGTGAGTAGTCCTGCTGGTCCCGTCTGAGCCATGAAGACCGTGAAGCCCCGATCCATCTTTGCGGCGTTGATGCTGTCCTCGCTGGAGCAGGATGCGTGAGATCAGATTGAGGAGCTTGCCGCCGTCCTTCATCAGTGCCTCCGCCGGGGCCGAATTTCGGCTCCCCTGTCCTCGGCGCGTGCGCCGTCGCGGCGTCGCTGGAGGCCACTTGTTGGATTCGCTCAGCCCCGGCAGCAGGTAGCCGAACATCTGGATCTGTTCCTGTGTGGTCGCCATGGCTGGGAATGAGTCCAAGGATCGCAGACTGCACGATGACACAGCACTGTTTGAAGTGACGATTATAGGAGGTGCGTTGGCAGTAAGGGCAGGTTCCATCGCGCGTGAGCCGGGGCTTGAAGACAGTGCAAGTGCTTTCGAGCCGCTCCGAGACCTGCTTCCAGATTTCAGGATGGGAGTTTCGCATGTGTCTTTTGATGGACGTTGTGTCGACCATCCATCTGGCACAAATGCAGCAGTGCTGTTTTAGGTCCTCCGCATGCTCGCTGCTCGGATGGTTTGTCTGCAATGTTCGACCTGCTCGGCACTCGGGCGTACCAGGGCACCATGGCCAGCTGGTCCTAGCCGACTTGAGGTCGATCGTTTTGCCCTGAAGTCCAGACTTGCGCCTTCGCAGAAACAGCAGCAAGGCGGCAGCGATTGTTTCTGTGTCGTGAAGCTGAATCTTGCCCTCCGACCCGAAGGCGGCGTTCAGGAAGGACTGGGAGAGGTCGTCGATGGGTCGAACCTTCTTGCCTCGTTGGATAGCAAATCGTTTGCTAATGACTGCCCCCGCAGGCAGCTCATGAAGGGAGAAAGGCCCCTCGGACCACCCTTTAGCAACTCCTTCCATGCTCTTCTGCCAGAGCTCTTCTGTGAAGCTTGAGGAGGATGCTACGTCCTGGATGATCTGTTCATTGCTATCTGCTGACACAGAGGCTAGATCCGAAGCACTGATAGAAGCGGGCCGAAAGTCGGGTGCCCATCCTGCAGGAAGATCTAAATGGCCAACCAGGTTGAATCCCTTAGCCATGTCATCAGCTACGGCCTTGTCCGGGTAGTGTGCCGCCTCCAACATCTCCTTGAACAAAAGGATTCGTTTGTTCGCTAGGCTCGCCTGAATGTGTGGCGGCAGGGACTGCTTGAAAGTAGCTTCAGCTTCCTCCAAATCCGAGGCTCGCTTGAGCCAGCGTTGGGACTGAGCTGCCCTAACCTGCATGACCTGCAATGGTTTCATGCTGGCGTTCTTGTCTATGGCCTGCTTCATCTGTGGCGGAATGCGTGAAGGATGCCCCGTTCGCCTAGCCTGCAGAACGAACTCCTGAGGTGTCCATGGGACGTGCACCCAGACGTCTGTCGGGCTACCCGCTACTGGAGCCACTTTGACTTCCTCCGCTGAACCTGCGTCCAATCCCTCGATCTTGCGGGCTGGCATCCACTGAGGCGCGACCAGCCTGCCTCTCGTCTCTGCGCTGAGATGGCAGCGCACAGTCCTGCGGAATTCTGGAATCACACGAAAGGCAGCCGTTTAGTGCGGGCCTGGGTCGAAAGCACCTTGGCCGATGCAGGACCTGGACCCTTAAGTTCCTGGACCTCCCTTTCATCTACGCAACCAGAGTCGCTGAGGTGGCCCGTCAGTGCCATAATGAATGTTTTGCAGAACAGAGCGGGACACGCCGACTCCTGCTTAGTGACGAACTCTCCTTCAACCCTGCCCCAGGCAGCGTGCGTATGCTTGCCATCGCATTGAGCTGCCAGCGACTGCACCAAAGGGCTGTTGCTAAGAAGCGCGGTCCTCTTGAGTCTCTGTCCCCCAAAAATGCAGAAGTCGCTCCGCGCTAGAACAGCGTCCTCATGTTCTAGGATCTTTGTGATCTGAGGCAAGTGCCAGAAGAAGCTGCGATACGGGTTCTCAATCACCACTGTTATCTTTCGCTCCTGACAGGCCTCCCAGATCTTAGCCACGAGAACGTAGAGCAGGTTGGCCTTGGCGACTCTTTCCGCGTCTTGCGGGGCCAAGTCTGGCTTCCCTTCGGGATGCTCCGGACTTCGTAATGGCAAAGGGCCGCCCTGTCCTGGCTCGGCGATGTCCCTGGCTCGGCTGGCCGTCTTTTTTGACTTTTTTTTGACTTTGGAACGCAGACAAGTCCAGTGTCTCGCGTGGCACATTCAAGTAGACACTTGCTACTCGGCTGCTCATCGCAGCAGTGCAGAGAGGAACTAGCGGAATCTACACATTCGTAAGCAGCAGAAGCTAATCTTCTGGCAAACTGCAGTCAGAAAGCGAAGCAACACAGCGACCTATAGCCTATCCCGGTCCGCATGGCCACATGCCGCAAAGCCTGGCATGCGTAAAGGCCTCACATCTACCCCGGTGCACATGGCCACATGCCGTAAACCTTGGCACGCGTAAAGGCCTCACTGCATGAGCAAAGATTGCGGGCATCAGCACAACTTAATGAAGGATCCCAGGATACCACGGTTGCACCAATATCCCAGAGTCAGAATCAAGTGGTGCATGCAAGATCGCAGGCATTCAGGTCCCATGATAGGCTCCAGTGATGAGTGTGAGCCTCCCAGCATACATAACCCGCGCGGTTCGGCTGGCCGTCCCACACGGCGGCGCGATCCAGACAGCTTCCAATCCCGGTGAATCGAGCCACTTCCACAGCAGATTCTGGTGGGATCCAACAGTAAATCCAACTGAATGACTTTGCCTTTCCGGTTAGGAATCCGAATGTGGTCCAGGCCCACTGACCGCTTCATGCCGGCTGCGGCCGCAGCTGCAACCATGCCTGCAGTTCCTGCGAACACCTCGAGAATCCAGCACTCCTGTATACTCTTGACTGTCCTCTCTTCCTGAGCCCCTCGCTGGTGGGGGCCTATTGCCCGCTGGGCATAAGAGGTCGTGCAGGTCACTTCACGCTGGGCGACCTGGCCCTCTTTTGTCTGCTGACTCTCCAGAACAGGATCGTCAAACCTGTTCGCAACCGTTTGGTCAAACTGCTCAAGCTCCGATGTCTGAAAACTATCCCACTTCCTCTTCTTAAAAGACTGCGATCCAATCCTCTCTTCGATCTGTGTTTCAGTGGAGGCCGAAGGCTCATCCACCGTTGGTGCCAAAGGCAAAATCGATGTTTCACTGTGGAAAACTGAAGACCCTTCCTCAGCCCCTGACACGGTTTCGCGAATGGAGGCTTCGGTGGGCGCCCTCTCAGCCGCCGGAGCAGCGTCATCCGGCGCCGCAACGGGAGGCGACAACCCTCAGGCTTTGGCTGTCTTGTTCTTGTGTTCTACAAAAGCGTGTTTGCCGAAGCAGCCTGGCCAGCAGCACACGTGTCTCCCCCGAGCGCAACGCCCGCCCACTGGCGCATCCTTGCACTGACCCAGCCCAAAGCCGAAGCAAATGGGCTCGCCTGAGTCGTCACACGGCACACCCCCTCTCAATGCCGCTGGCATGGGGGTGGTGGATTTGCCCCCACGGTTGTCGAGCCCTTGTTGGCGTAGTGACCCTTCTGATTCTCTCCCTTTCCTTTCCAAGCGTCCTTTCCTTTGTAACCTCCCTCTCCTTTGCCCTTCCAGCCGTTCTTCCCCTTGTCTGTGCGTTGCCACTTCTGAGGCTGGAAGCCCTTGCCGTCGCCCCACTTGCGCCATCGGGCTGCATGGCCCCCATTATCAAGCGGAACTCGAAGGCCTTGTCCAAGCAGCGAGCATCTGTCAGGAAAGAGTTGGCCGGCGAACGCGTGAGCGCGGGTTGGCGCCCTGCCAGCTCCAGCCACAGAGCTCTGTCAGCTCTGAGAACCTGTTGCAAAGAGGGTCTGCTGTATCCTGGGCGTGCCGGTGTGCTCATGTGCGCAAAAGCCTTCTGAAGCCATCTCTCACGCACACGGAAGCTGAGCACCCCCACCAAGTCGTAGGCCAGGCCGCGTCTCTGCAAGGCCCTAGGTCGCCATCTCTGTGCCCAGCTGCGCCTGTACCTTAGACTGCTTGTCCTGAATTGACAGGCCATTGCCACAAAACCGTCTGGAAGCTGTAGCTCTGTTGCCCTGGGCTCATCATCCCCTGAGTCGCGATCCGAAACGCACCCCTCGGAGCTGTCGGACGGGGGGTCGGGGGACCTGACATAGTCCTCCTGTTCAAGCAACAAGGCTTCGCCAACTCCCTCTGCCAGCTGGGCCTCAAGACTGTCTGGGTCGAAACCACAGGGTTCCGATTGTTCCTGCTCGGATCCCGGCGCACTGTCATTGACTGGAGCTCCGCTGGGCGAGTCTTCGTCGGTCGCAGGTGGCACAAGCCCATCCGCGCCGCCGTGAGGATTGAGGCTAGGCGGCTTCTCTGCTAGTGAAGCTTCTGGCTGGGAACTCGCTGCTTTTCCAGATTGCAGAACGGAGCGCTGAGGTAGAGAGGCTCGGATGCGGCGTCACTTCGTCCCACGATCCAAGGCTTGACCCAGGAAGCTTCCAAGCCGTATCTGTCTGAGAAGCCCCTCGAGTTGCCTAGAGGTCCACTTAAGGCGTCCCTAGAATAGGCTAAAGTACTCAGCAGTACGCTTCAACCACTTGCCCTCAGCGTCCACTGCTGGCAGCAATGGTCCCAGCGGAGTGGCGTCGAAACGGCGGCCGACCTTGGAAGCAACGTCCTTCCACTCAAGGCCCCACACTATTGTGGGGTGTACTCCACGGACCGAGGCCACGAGCGGCATATATAAAGTCTTGTGCAGGCCGTCATCAGCCAAACGTTCTTCCAAGAACTGCACCTCGAGAACCGTAAGGTCCCTGGCCTGATGAGCAGGGTCGTGTTCTCCAGCCATTCGATCTGCCAGCCCCTGTACGCGCGGCGACAGGCACTGCTGCATGGCCGGCACAGCCAGCACGAACCTGACAAACGTCAGGGCCTGCACGAATCCCTGAGCAGCCAACCTTCCTTTGGTCCCTGCTGACACGTGCTGGCAGAAGCGATAAACAGATGCCTCAGACGGAGCCAGAGGCTCCTCGGCTGTCTCCTCGTCTAAGAACGCTTCGGACTGAAGCCACTTGAAGAATCTCACCAGGGCCGTGGCTCTCTTCTCCACTGTGTGTGGCGACTTAGAACCAAAAACGTCTCGTAGGGAGCTCATTCGCTCCTCAAGGGTCATGCTGCTGAACTCCTTGCAGAGGGTTGCTGAGGGGGATGCCTCGAAGAGCACCTGCCATTTTTTAATAGCTTTAGCCCATAAGGCCGACACGCTCTCCGAAAAATCCGGGTCCGAAGTCTTGTGTCGGATGACCTTGCAGAAGATTTCAGGGCCTGACACTTCACTCACCTTAGGGTGAGAGGGCGAGGTTGCGGAGCACTCCTGCAACACAAGGTCAGGAGCCTGAGTGGCAGCTGACTCTGCTAACGGCAACAGTACCTGAGGAGTTGGCCGCTCACATTGCAGTGCCGGTGGGTCCTCGAAGATGTCTCGAAAGACCCCTTGCTGCCAAGGCATCAAAACTTGAGGCAAGGTAGCAGAGACCAAGATTTGCCCTTGGTTCTCCAGTGCCCCTGTGGGCACGTGTTCTTCATCACTCTCTGAGGGCACGTCCTCTGCTCGAAGCCTAAGCCTAAGCATCCAGCCCGCTGGAGCCCACGCCAAGGAACAAAAACACAGGGATCCGACAGGTCTCAGAATCGCGAAACCAGCACAGGCGGACAACAAAGCTGACTCAAAGGCTGCCCTTCTTTTCTTGTGTGGTGTGGAAGAGCTCATTGTGCTTGATTCCGAGGCGGAGGCTCAGGCCGAGACGGCTCGCAAGATCGCAAACCGAGGACTGAGCATCAAGTGCTCGCCGGACCTCGAGCTGCCAGCGTCCTTGCAGGCTGCCGATAGATACGGCATTCCGCCTTCTGTATTCGGAGTAGCCTGTTCTAGCGTCCCCTCATTAACTTGTCCCATTCCTTTGCTCTTCGATGCCACTTTCCCGATGGACTGCTTGAGGGACTCCGTGTTGAGGTCGTTGCAGGATCCGCGACCACTGAACCCGTATTGCGGAAATTCTCCGTCGACGTGGTCCCCCGGACAGAGTTCGCGTGTTAGGGTAGGCCGAATGCGCAATTGAAGGGTGTCCCGTGCGATGCAACTACGTAATGCCTCGCGTTCCTTGGCCTGCAGTAGCTTGGACCCTCAATCTTGGTCCGGACGCATGCTATCTTCTGACCTGGAATTTTGAAGATAGTCATCTCGAGCGCTCCATCCTGCTCGAGCGGCATGTCGCACTGCTTGAAATAAGCACAGAGGGCAGAAAACCTGTTGAGCACGACATCGGGTGCCTTGGATCCCCCATGCATCGGCCTGTGCCGCAAACATCTCGGCCAAGCGGGCGCGGTAGTGATCATGGAGCTCTCCATTGACCAACTCTTTGCAGTCTCTCCAACTCATGCTCCACCAATCCCGCATCTTCCCTTCTCTGACCAGCTCCCTCGCGGACCTGGGTCGGTCGTCATCATTGACGGCAGCCAAAACGGCCTCGCGTCACAAGGATTTGTGAAACCAATTCCTCTTCTTGTTGCCTTTTCTTGGCAGCTGCTGCACGCTCTTCCTCTTCGGTAGCTTCCTTGATATCATAACGTGCACTCTCATCCTGCTGGCGGTCGGGATCCTCCTCCGGAGGTGGCGGAGGGGGAGGCGGAGGAGGCCGCTTATCGGTAGAGGAACTCGAAGTCCAGCCGTGACCCCAGTCTTTCTTTTGATAGGGCTTGTCTTTGGGCTTCCAATTTGGGTTCACCCACTTGTTCCAACCTTTGTTGGTATCCTTCTTCCAGGACTCTCCGCCCTTCCACGACTCGCCTCCCTTCCATGGGGTCTGCTTCTTCCAAGACCCTTCCCATGTCTCTTCCTTTGCCGTCGGCGCTGCTGGCTCTGCTGCTCCGCTTGCGATCGGCACGCTAGGCATGGTAGGAAGACCCTGGGCATTCAGTGGGACTTGCACCCAAGCGTAGCCGGCGTAGCCCTGTGCCAGCCCCGTGGGGGGCATCGCGGATGAACTTGCCGAAGCCTGCGGGGCATCCCTGGAGCGCTCACGTTTCCTGCCCCTCCGGTCTGACTCAGAGCAGCTGGCAGCTGCGACGGTGACGGTCCCGCCTATCGCGACGCCGAGACCTCCTACGTCTGCTGCTTTCACTGAAGCTGCTCGATTCGCGCTTCCTGCGCCTCCCTTGTCCCGAAGGGTCGATCATCCAGAAAGGAAACATGATGGGCTCTTCGCCTCTTGGACCCCGCAGCCTTTGCTGCTCTTTGCAATTCTTGCTTTTTTTTTTGGCCTTTGCAGTGTTGCTGCCGGAGGCTGTCCCCCCTCTTGAGCCGAGCAGAGAGTGACGACTCCCTTCTAGGACCCTTGTCCGCTTGCGAGCACAGTAACCGACGAACATACAAGCACTCTCTGTGCGGGCCTTCGTTCCCGCCCAGGACGTCACTTTGCTCTCATGGGTCACGGCCTGGCAGGGCGCTGTTGGACTCGTTACCCGACTCACCCACTGACCGAAAGCACACTGAAAACTGAGGTTCAGGCGAAGAAGTAGCCCGATTTGGGCATGAGCTGACACATCTGAAGTGACACGGGCACCGGAGCCCCAGAACGCACGAGTAGTTTCGCGCATGCACGGGTCCTGTTCAACCTCGGTGGCGGTGCAGCTGGCTGCCACACTGCCATGAATACGTACTCGCCCGAGTCCTCGATGCCAGGGCGAGCCCTGACAGAGCTCGCGTCCCCGGACGGCACTGATCCTCTGCAGTCTGAAGAACTGTCCTCCAAGAGGTCCTTGCCAGGACTGCTATCTTGGGCCGTAGCGAGAATCTCGGCAGAATCTGAACCCTCAGGAGGTTCCCTGTCAGCGCGCTTGGATGCTTTCTTCTCCTTAGTCCTTTTCTTCTTTTTGGAATTCTTATGTTTCTTCTTCTTCTTTGTAGCCTTCGGGGGTTGCGCTGGTAGCGGCTCGAAAGCCGAACTCCACGAAGACAAATCGGAGTCTACCTCGGCGAATGTTTCCCCTAGATTCCTAGATTGTCCTCTTCCATGTCTCCTGAGAAGGCATGGCTGCGAACCACAAAACAGCACTGTTCGAACGTTCAAAGGTCGAGGCAACGAGGCCTCAGCTGCAACAACTGTCCTGTAAGCACATCCTCGGACTTATTACCTGTCTCTGCAGCAAACGAAATTCTGTCAATGCAAGGGTTTGAATGCAAACCCGGCCATGCTCTCAGAAAGTGTTGCAGTTCTTTCGAACCACAAGCAAATTGAAGAGACCGGCAACTGGCGGCAAACACAAATGTTGTGGCCCTCGTGCACTCGTGCAATTCCAACTGGAAACCAGCGGCTATACAAGACATCCCGACTCACATTGACATGCATCTCTGTTTTCATGCTTCATCTCTGTGGCGGGGCAACAGGAACTTCTCAGTTCTGAAGATCCGGGACGAAGGACGTCCCCTGCTGGTAAATGGACCGAGCGGGTGGCGGGCCCTGCTTCATTCCCGCCACCACAACCACCACCAGACTCCATTTGTTACTTTCCAGCACCATTTCCAGGTGGGGGGCGGCCGAATTGGAGACCTGGACCTCTCAGCTCTGTCTTTCCCCCCATTGCTCCAAGAACTGCGCTCGTTGCTGCCTTGCTCTCTCGCAGGGGATGGTGTCGCTTGGCGACCTCGTTTGCCCATGACTACGGGAGGAGGCGTGCGTCTATGAACTCGCTGGAGATGCTGGCTTGAGAGAAAAACAAACTTGAGGCATTTAAACACGATTCGCCTCTGCATCTTCGGGCTTGTTTCTTGCGTTCAACCAGGAAGCGAATGCCGAGGCTATCGCCGAGTCCTCATCATAGGTGGAGCGTGCACCACACACTCAACTTGCACTACGGGCAACCTGCACTACGCTGGTGGACTTCCAAAAGTTGAAGCACCTGGCGAGCAGCACCTGATCCTCCAAAACTGACAGACGATCCATCACTGAGTTCAAAAGCCAATTAGTGCGCAAAGAGATCCTGAAGATTTGAAGCTGCGTGCTGTGCGCATGCCTGCCCACCACACTCAGTGTGTCGGTACTCCAGGAATGATCACTGGCCACTTCACCAGTCAGCTCTGGGACTGCCGCGGATTGTTCGCCCATCTTGAGGCCTATCACACAGAGTAGAGTGCTCCAAGAATTAAGCCACATCTGACTTATTCTCCCACGCTCTGAGACACACACGGGTGGGATTTGATCGGTCCTGTAAACATGCTTCGCCTCACGAAAGATTGGCCTGCAGTCCAAGATACAGACCAATAGATACAATCTCACTCTGAGGAGGCAACACATGAACCTTCATTAAGGTACCCGCTCCCTCCCCCTCTATTCCCGTAGCGCTTTGGCCACAAGAAAAATTTTTCACTCCCAGTTTTTGGGATGTGCAGGTTCTGTAAGCCGAAATTTTCTTGAGCCAAAATGGCTACGGTTGGTCAATGGGGAGCTCCATGATCACTACCGCGCCCGCTTGGCCGAGATGTTTGCGGCATAGGCCGATGAAGAATTTTTCACTCCCAGACTTTGGGATGCGCAGGTTCTGTAAGCCGAAATTTTCTCATCATAAAGATTCGAAAATTTTTCTCCCGAAAATAAAGGTTTGTACTTACAGCACGATTACCGGCAACTGCATAACCGGTGGTGGCACGCATGAAACTCCAGCCGTGTCTTTCCTTCCTCCACGGGCGCGGCGGTGGCACGGTATGTCTGCAGAGCCAGGTGTCCAACCGCCTCCTCAATCCGTTTTCGTTCCAAAACTTCCGGAGATCACGAATGGTATCCGGCGAGCAGCAGTGTGATGAAGATGTCAGAAGCTTCGTTCAAAAAGTCCTGTCCTTCCTCGCACCACGTTGCGTGTGCAGGCCATGAGCCAAGAGTGTAACAGTCTAGAAGATCCCTTTCAACCTCGCTGTCCCCGTCAAAGGCTCTCTAGAAGAGTGCATGGCTTTGGCTCTGAAGTCAACTTGTCCCACCAAGGCGAAAGAAGCACAAGTATACTCTGGAGGCCCCTTCACAACAGCCACCACAATCCTGACAATTTCCGGACCCAGAAGTGGGCTTGTTGGAAGCATTGCAGAATCTGAACCTCGCCGCCTGCTTCAGAAACTTCGATTATGTCTTGGCCTGCTCCGAACGCAGTCATGACTACACGAGCCATGCAGAGCATTGCCAAGATCCGGCATCGCAGGAAATCTATGGGAAACCCATAGGAAACCCCAGGAAACCATCGGAAACCAGACCGGAAACCTTCAGAAACCCTTAAGAGGGGACAGACTCACTTTTGAGGAGCATATCTATTTAGAATTCATGGGAAACCATAGCAGGCCATAACAAACATGTGGAAAACGCTGGGAAATCACAGGAAACCGCAGGAAACGTGTGGGAAACCCACAGGAAACCACAGGAAACCATCGGAAACCAGACCGGAAACCGTCAGAAACCCCGTACAAGGAACAAACTCACTTTTGAGGAGCATATCTATCTAGAATTCGGGAACTAAAGCAGACCACAACATTAATTTACTCCGTCGTTCTTCACACGCACACAATCTACGGCAGGCATAATCACCCCTCGGACTAAACAGTCTACAATGCACATGGTGCTGCGGAGCACAGCCTGAGAGGCCCAAGGCAGGTGGAAGCCAAGCAAGAGCACATTCTCAAGTCGACAAGCCGGAGGCACCAGCGGCCCAAGAAGCAGTAGCAGCAAGGGTTTGCGTCATTATCACGGGGCGGGTGGGCGGGACAAAAATTTCTGCCCATGCCCATGTTGCATGCTGTTTTCACGTGCTCCCTTGAGCATGTCCTCGCGGCGGCGTACACCAGCATTCACAAGTTCAGGCTGCACGCAAGAAGTGTTCAAGGTTGCTCGAAACATAAAATCACTTTGCAAATTTTCTTTCCAACTCAATCGGAAGAAGTAAAACTAACCTAGTTTTACAAAACAACATCGTAAATTAAAGCGCTATCAACCCGTTGACCGCCAGCTCAATTTACTCCGTCGTTCTTCCGATTGAGCAGAAACGGCAGTGCTAAAATAAAATGATTGGTGAATCTATATGCAGCGACCGATATACATAAATGTATTGCACAAATTCCTTCAGGAAGCCACACTCGCACTGTCTTCATTTTCACTGGTGACGTCGGGCAACACTCCAGTACCGACATGCTCAACCGCGGCTGCGATTGAGACACATCGTATGCGCAAGCAAGATTGGCCGTAAAGGGACTCAGCAGCCCACACGCACACAATCTACGGCAGGCATAATCACCCCTAATTAACCGCAGTCCTATGCAAGAATGTCATCGAGCGTTTTTGCAATTGGGGTTGCCTTGATAGTTCGTGCTCTGGTCCTCATGGATTCGACCAGCTCTCTGGACAAAATGTCTGATGGGTTCGATGGGCTCGGAACGCGAGCTATCCAAGTGTTTAGGCCTGCCATGTCTTCCACCGCGAGGAGTAACTCGATGAGCATCTTGCCTGTGTCGTTTCTTGCCCTCCCCGAAATGCATACGTCTCGAGCACTATTATTATCCACGTAGGCAACTAATGCAGGATGCATGACCCGTTTGCGCCAAAGTACTATTGCAGCGATGTACGCCACAAGTTCCGCCTCGAAGATGATGGTTTTCTTCCTGGCGCTGCCGAGCTTTTCCATTTGTTTCTGATCTAGCTCATACGAGAAGAAACTCAGCATCTCGCCCTCATGGTCATAGAGCACGCCGCCTATGCCGCACTTGGGGCCCTGAGCGCTTACCTCGTAGGCGGCGTCAGTGAAAATGTATCTCGGGGTGTGGGCTGGTCTCGCCAGCACACGTGGCTTTGAGTCCCTGAGAAGCAGTGCATACCGGTTCAAGGCAACAAGAGCGTCCTGCCCAAGTTTCGTTTGACCCGACACGATATGCGTATCCAATTCCTTAAGACAGAGCTTGCTGGCACGGCCAAAGACTTGGCCGTCGGCAAATTGTAACCGGCCCCTGAGTCGCTGTGCATCTCTGTTGCGCAGCTCATTGCTTTTGACCGCATCGGTAAGTGCAGCTAGAAGTTCTTGTACCCTGCTGTCGGTATTCCCAACCTCTACACGTCCGCTGCTAAAATGTTCCAAGTTAAACCTCACCCCCAATGATTCAAACGTGCTGCCAAAATCCTGCGCCTTCTTCCCCTCCTCCGCAAACTGCCACCCTAAGAGTCTAAAGAAGCGGGGAATGTGGTCGGCAGTGAAGGCACAATCTGATTGTCGTGCTAGCGTGGGGAAGTCGTCGAAGTAGCACGTCCATAAGAAGCCCAGGTGGCATCCGAGCGTCCACACCGAGTGCACAGTCCTGAGAAAAGAGTGCACACTCCTTACCGCTCCGAAGGGCAAGGCTTTAAGGCGATGCACTGAAGGCTGACCCGACTGCTCATCGTGGAACGCTACGTAAGCATCCTTTAGGGCATCCTCACTTAGGCCGAGCTGGCGGTAAGCGGCCTTAAGGTCATAACTTCTGCCTTTAAGTTTATCCCTAGGGAAGGATTCCAAGCATTGCAGCATCAAGCATGCCAGCACGTCTGTCGTGTGCGGTTGTGGTGATTCGCATGCCTGCACGGCTGCATTCACAGAGCTTTCCTTCCTTCACCCGCAGCGCTGTCGTTGGTCAACGCCTCGCGTAGGCCCTAAGCGAGCACACGGTAGTTGTTGTGTGCCGGCAACTTCAAGTTGCTAGGGCACTCCGTGCCGAAGCACAAGAGCGAGTGCCTGCACGCCCGACACGAATGTACAGCGACGTGCACGCTACAGAAAACTAAGTACAAAGCTCGAGTCAAGGATCTAGAAAGGCATATGCGACAATGACAAAGAAGTACACTGTACAACTAACGGTTTTTACCGAGGTTCAGCGGGCTCAGACAGTAAGCAAAAAATGAAAGCATCATAGATGGACATGTCGCTTCATGCAGTGCCGCCCTCGGCACTCTCCCAGACTCTGCGAAGAAAGACTGCATCACAATCTCGAGCATGAATGGTCGTATCACTGAGCTTGACAGCTTTGGCACTCTTACCATTGGTATGCGTATGCCATCCAGTCTTTTTGAGGCTCGTCCAGTAACGAGCGCCGAAATGACCATCGGAAGCAGAGCACAAGACCACAGATATTATGTGATATGTCACGGCATGCGTTGTAGTACCCTCCGCACTGAAGCACGGCACCTGAACTGTGGTTGGCGCTTTGCCTTCCTTAATCAGTCGCCACTCACCCGCTGCACTGTTGAGCCACCTGGGGGACATGACACAAAGCAGCTGCGGAGCTTGGACAAGAGCACAACGATCGTCCTGGATTCGCCAATCTGAGAAAAGAGCAGTCAATCCAGATCGCATGTATCATCATTGATTGTAGCCTGCAGGCATAGCGGGAGCCAGGTGTCACCAGCATGAGTACAAGTGCAAACGCCGTGATGAGAGGTTCTAGCCTCCCATCTGCCTTTCAGGGCCGGTGAGGCAGCCTTGGGTAATATGTGTTGGAGCCACCGCAAAACATCGGCCTTCTTAGGATCCCAACCTTGTAACGAGGATCGCCACGGAAGTGAGGATGCCAGCCTGAAAGAGGCGCCCAATGCAACGAAGGATTTGACGGCATGTGCAAGGGTTCCTGCTATGAACTCGATGTCATAATGGTCGGCTCCTGCCATAAGCCATGCTATCATGCATGCCACCATATAGCCATGCCGATCGTGCAACGTGAACGGTGTAGCGAAGAGCCCTGCAGCCTTCAGCGGCGTAGCGCGGCCGCCATTTTGGCAATCTGCTGTGCCAATGGCTGTAGGTTCACCCGCTCGCCCCGAATGCGCACTCCCACGGTTCTCAAAGCTGCACTGCCCGTCAGGTCGCTCAGGATGTCGTGGGCTTGTTGTGCCTTGGTTCCTCTCATCGCCACCGACAGGATGAAAGGCATCGTGTCGCCCATGACCGATTCGGTGAGCTTTCGGGTGGAGTGAAATCGGTGAATGAGCCGTTCGGTCTCGGAATTCACCAACGCCTGGAGGTTGGTCGCTGCCCGCAATATCGTTGAGTGGCCCACGGGTGGTTTGCTCGGATCCAGCTCCAGCTGTCGGGTTTGCTGGTTCCATTGCTGAAAGTTCCAGTGCAGCTCGTCGACGCCCTGCACTTTCACCCATCCCTGTGCCTCCATCTTCTTGACCGTCTCCGCATCCTTGGTCATGATGTCCAGCCTCGCCATCCACTCCGCGAGGACGCACTTGATCAAGGCCACACGTAACGAGCTGGTCACGGTTGGTGGAGTTTTGTCTTTGCCTGCTTTCCACACTTGGGCCACCTTCCATAAGGGGGAGAGCATTCCCTGAGGGCCAGACTCCAGATGCAGCAGGAATTGCTTCTCCGTTCGAAGAAGCTGCAACTCTTCCTCTTGCTTCAGGGTCAGCCGACACAAAGCTTCCATCAGCCTCTCGAGATCCGCACGGTGCTGCGGCCGCCAACTGTGGTAATCCCAGTCGTCGCGCTCCCAATTGTTCCAGCTTCCCCTGTTCTTTGCATCGCTGCCCCGTTGGCCCCCTTTGCCCTTGCCCAACTGTGATCTGTGGAGCGTCTTGTCTCCCATCGGCTCTTGCCTCGAACGTTTGCCCCGGTTGGGCATGTCGAGGTCCTCTGTCTCCCGCTCCGGCACTTCCTCGAGAGATCCCGCCTTGAGGTTCGCCAATGCCGGCAGGCAGTTGGCGAACACATCCTGAATCTCCGCATCGTAGGTCATGCCTCATGCAGATTTGGAGTGCATGCTGCAGTAGAGGAACACATGTGTGCACGTGCTCGGCCTTCTTGCTGGATTTGGCCCCACACAGAGAGCAAGGAATCGAAACTGAGCCCACCCACGCTGCACAAAGAAGTTGCACTTTAGGCTGCATGTCACGCCAAAGCTCACTGTGCTGGCGTTGCATGTGCGTTTTGTAACGCTGTTTGGAAAGGTCTGCACGACAGATCTGACATGTACCGAGCATTGGTTTTACCTCCTCAGCTGAAGGATAAGGCTCATCGCTCGGCGCCGTCATGTCAGCGGCATCCTTGGGACCTCCATTAACGAACCATGACATTGCCAACTGAAACAAGGCCGGGCATGTGGCACGATGATCCCTGCCTTGTTGGGCCTTGTGTCCGCACCACTGACATGTCCCTTTGATGGGGGCAAGGTTGTTGGTGCACCACACTCGCAAACGAGAACTGTGCGCCTTCCATTCGTCCTTGTGGACGCGGCCGTAGTGGACCTTCATATAATTCTCATTGGGCAACCATTGCCTGCACAACGCACACCGCTCGAGGAGCTCCTTTTTGAGGTCGTCATTCGGGGGGTTGAGCATGACCTCGGGAAACACAATTTCATCAGCAAGGACCTTGGCAAGCAGTGGGGGGTGGACGTCATCATAGCCAGCTCGCTCGGGGGCTTGGCATCGTCCAAGTTGCACATGTCGCTGTAATTCCTCCCATGTGCCGAACTTGTGCCCGCAATTGATGCACTGCGGGAGGCCGTCCTTACCATGAAGTAGCCGATCGAAGCTCTCACCCTTGGCCTTGTTCTCGCCACTGCGATGGACCTTGGCACGATGTTGACGGAGTGATGCTGCCGTGGGGAAGCGTTCGCCACAATCAGGACAGGGCAAATCATCGGTGGCCCCCGTGTTGGAGGAGTCAGCCGCCAGTTCCTGTAAGCCGTGTAACACCTCAGTTTCATGGGCCAGCAGCGCGGCATCGAGCCTGAAGTCGCCGGGGGAAAGCTTGGCGCGAAGCTGCTCCGTTCGGTCCAAAGTGTTCCGTTGCCTGTCGATGAGAAGCTGCAGAGGAGTTGGCATTCCCAGGTTGAGCAGGAATTGAGCGTCAGACTCCAGTGTCAAATGCCGTGGCCGTCCAGCTATGGCCCGAAGTTGCCTGAGGAGTGCAACCCTAATGCATGAAGCACCTTTCTCAGTGAGTCCCGAGGCAGTGAGCGAGTAGAAGACCGTGGGTAGCACATAGGCCTTCCAGAGTCTCAGCCGTTTCGCCAATGGCCACGTGCGTTTAGAGTGAAGATGCTGGCGAAGCCGGTTGTAAGTGGCAATCCCTGCCTGGCAACGGTGCGTGGCATTAAGTTCTTCGAACCGACCAAAGGAGATGATGGCTCCAAGATATGTGTGCTGGGCCTTGACGGGTAAAGTGAGGTCCTGGTTCAGCCGAAGATGGTGCTTGCCCTCATGTTTTACAACGATCTTCCGACGATAGGCCTCGGCTTGAGGGCCCGCCAATTTGAGGAGAATAGCTGTTTTGTCCTTACTCACCGTGAGGCCTTGTTGTTCCAACAGGTTGATGATGGCCGTGGCTTCTGAGATCGCGGCCGCCACATCCTCTCGAGAGTGGAACGTCCACTTGAACAAGTTGTCATCGGCATATCCAATCAAGCGCTGCCTGCACCAATCAACCCCAAGCTGCTGCTCCAAAAGATGAGTGAGGTAAACAACCACACAGTTCCATAACGAAGGTGATAGCCTGCACCCCTGACGGATCCCCCGGGAAGTCGGGAACGTTTGCGCGTGGCCTTCTTTCTGCACTACATAGCGAACGGAGTGAACCCATCGTAGCAAAAGGGAGCGAAGACTGAGGGGGACACCAATGTGAATCAGAGCCTGCTCCAGGAGGTCCCGGCCCACTCTGTCGAAGGCCTGCGTCAGGTCGATGCTCAGCAGCATGCCGCCAGCACATCCCTTTGCCTGGTGACCGGCAAACTTGTCGTAGAGGGATCTGTTCTGTGCCTGGCTGAGCGAGCGCACAGACTTGCAGTGGATAAAGGCGTGTCCAAGAGCTTGCTGCACCGATCTACCAGGTAGAAAGCCATATTGATGACGAGCTTCCATGTGGGGCAAGATGTAGGTGTCGAGCTGCTTTCGGAGTAGTCCCGATACCGCCTTACCGACCGGGTCAAGTAAAGCAATCGGCCGGAGGTGCTCCGGTTTGTTCCCCGCCTTGTTGGCCTTCTGCAGAAAGGTGAGCCAGGCATCGGCCCAGGCAGTGGGTATGTGAGCGCCGCTAGAGCGCCATTCCTGAAGAAGTCCTCGTTCCAGGACCTGCGACACCGGCTCTGCGACACAGCTCCAAAGTGCATGAGGTGCGTAATGTGCCGGTGCAGCTTTGTTCGATGGCAGGCTTGCAAGGGCCTGTTGCACAGCATCCATTTCGAGGTCAAACGTCGTGGCAGACGGTGCCTGCACTGGGTCTTCGGCCGTTGTGACCTCTTTCCAGTACGATGCGAGTGCCTGGACTTCGGCCTGAGGCATAAGAATCGCCCCCGTACTCGAACGGAGCTGAGCTCTGGCCTTCGGTTGCTTGGGCACGTGCCTGCGCAGCAGAAAGAAGAGATGATCGATACGTCCATGGTGATCCTGTGCCTCCGCATGCCGTAGAAGTTCATCAAAGCGATGTCTGCGAAGGAGCCGGCTGTTACGACGTACGATTTGGTGCAGCTGGTGAAACCGGGCTCTGCACCGCCAAGCCCGAAAGCAAGCTCGAAGACCTGAAGCACATTTCTGAAATTGTTGTCGGGCCAACCTGTACTGCAACCACATTTCCCTGATGGACCCTTCATGCTGTGCATCTTGCCATGGTGGGTGTAGCCCACTCGGTCTCACAATGTGGAAATGATCCCTGCTCGCCTTCATGAGAACTTGATTCACACGATCAGGGCAGAAGTCATGCATAGCTTGGAGCTCCCTGGAGACTTGTGCCTTGAAGTCCTGAACATCTGGCCCATCTGCTGCGATCCTGTCGGCTAGGAGCTTACACTTCCACTGCGGCCAAGCGGGCTGGGGTCGCGGCCGAGCGAATTGGAATCGGCGGAAACGCACTGTTACAAGCACGGGTAGATGCCTGCCACCACCTCTCCAGCGAGCCACCGGAAAGGTCACTAGCATACGCGCCGATGAGCTGAGCGTAGGACCTTTGCGTCGCACCAGCACGTAGTCCAGGAAGGAGCGGGTTTTCTGCGAGTGATGTTCAAGTATGTGTGTGTAGCTGCCCTGCTTACCGAAGGTGTTCACTGCCTGCAAGCCGAAGTCGTGAAGGATGGCCTCGAAGTCCTGTGCATCCGCCGACGGGGTCGGGTTGTTCGAACTCATACCTGTGCCAAAGAACGGGGCTTTAGGCTGCACCACGGTATTAAAATCTCCACATACCACAAGTTGATTGCCTCGGGGTAGCTGCCCCAAGGTTTGGCGGAGCGCTGCCCACACCTTCGATCGTTTGGCTAAGATGTCCGCTTCATTGCTCCAGCCACCCCATGCATGCAGATAGGCACCTACCACGTCCACCCATCCATGCTTATGTTGTGCCCGTACGTGGAGAAGTCGTCCTTCCATCACGTGGGAGTAGCGCACCGAACCATTATCAAAGACCGACCGTCTCAGCATGATCATAACCCCAGCCTGCGCCCGCGAGCTCGTAGCGTTCATGCCGCTCTGAACGCAAAGCCAGTCCCCCGCAAAGAACTCCGAACACTCCTTCATCCATGTCTCTTGGAGGCAGACAACATCGCAATCACAACCGCGCAACCACGTGTAGAACTCGTCCTTTAAGGTCGAGAACCCTCCGCAGTTCCAGTTTATCACCGTGATCGCAGCTGAAGCCTGGGAACGAGTGCCGGAATCAACGAGGGGCCTCTGTTCATGCTGTCCGCGGTTGGGTAGATACTGGGCTCTGAGCTCATGAGCTTGCATGATACGACCACGATAGCGAGCAAAGCCATCCCGACCTGCTCTTGCCAATGCTCGTTTGTATGCTCTCTTTCGGGAAAAACTGTAGCTGTTCTGGCCTTTAGCACAAAATTTCGCAGCATCGGGCGCCTTGTTGTCATCACGATGTGTGCTGCTCCTCAAAGACGTGTGCTTCGCCTCTGAACCCTCACCTCTGCTGTCTGGAGCACCCTGATGAGACCCAGACTTCACAGCCAGCGGACTTGGGACCGCTGCGGCCACATCGAGATCATGCTGTAGGTTTGCTGCATCTGTTGAACTCTGAACATGTAAATTGCCAGAAAGCATGCCAAATAGTGAGAAAATCGTGAAAAGCATGTAAAGAATACCCATGAAAAGTGGCAATTGCAAAAGACAGAGGCAACGACGGCTGCTGGAAACCATGCGAAGCTACGGCTACCGCTACCCCGCCCCAGCCCACCACTCGCAGCAAAAACAGTCTCGGGCCGAGAGGCTTCATTCACAGAGCTCCCCGACAAGTCATCTATTAGTCGCACCTTTTGGGATTCACCGGAACCCTGCGATAACCCAAACCTTCTACTGACCAAGGCCTCATCCTCCAAGTCACTAGGACTGATCGGCCCCTCCAACCAGCCCTTGTCATGCTCTTCGGCTGTTTTGCGTTTCACCTCCCGATCCAGCTCACCTTGTGATCGCACCGACTCCAAGACGTGCTTCCTGGATTGCGATGCTTTGCGATGGACCTCTTGCGGTGATGCCGAGGCAGGCTTGAATACTTGGGGGAACAAACCCGTGAGTGGCACTTGACCCACTAAATCAGTGCCGTTGATCATTTCTTCGACCACTTCCATATCCTCGTAGCCTATGTCCTGCAGGAGCTCCTTCCACAAGAGGATTTTCTTAGGCCCTAAGATGTCCCTTAGGTGGGCTGGCATCTCGGCTTTGAGTGCCGCCTCACTCTCCTCCAAGGCTGCCGCCCTGGCTTCCCACTGCTCGAACCACTTTTCCCTAAACTCAAGCAACTCTTTAGAAGACAAGGATCGGTTGAATTCTACAGCCTTTTGAAGTGCCCGCGGCAACGGAATTTTCAACAGTTTAGGGTGTCCCGCTTTGCATGCGGCCTGAACAAAAGCATCGGGGGAGTAGGGCACGCCCCACGCCTGTTCAAGAATGGGCTCAGCAGCACTCGGAGTCACGGCAGAATCGTTGACCCCCCTTTTAACCGACAGTGGTACAGTTCGAAGAAGTTGCGAATCGGCCGGAATGCGGCTGACAGAAGCAGAGCAGTCTGCGGGAGATCCCATGGTTTTGCAAGGCGGCCCATGGGGGCGCACGGAGCAGCATCTAGGGCTGACTTCGGCCCACGAACCAGCAGGACGGTGCAATGCTCTGGCACGAGAGCGGGAAATTTGGCCGCAGCAGGTTGAGGCCCAGAGGCCGCGCGGCAAGCAGACAACAAGCTAGCTGGCTTAGGCAAGGCGGAGGGAGGCTCCCATCCAGTCTGGACTAAGTGAGTCGCCACACAATGGGCGATGGCGGCGGCGGGTAGGCTGTTTCGGCTTTGGTTGCAAAGCCGGTGGGAGTAAGGCCCCAGGGCTCATGTCGATGTTCCGGTGACTGTCCGGGGCAAGAGCGCTGCAAGGATGAGAAGGCATCATGGCTGGCAGCCAGGGTCGTTCGCTTCGGGCGTGAGCCGCCGAACATGCAGTGGTCGAAGGAGGTGCGGAACGGGCAGAGATGCGCTATGCTCTGAAAAGGTGTTGTAGCCCAGAACCAAGATCGGTGCGGATTCTCGCAAACGAAGAGCACGTCACGACGGTGGCATTCCAGCGCGACTTTGGCCAAAAAGGCATTATAATGCATTGGCTGCCTCGACTCGTTGTTTATCGGAACCTTGAAGGTTTGGCAAGCCGTCGGGAAACTCGGAAGAGCGGAGGGGTGGCGGGGCGGGAATGGGCACGCCTGAATCATCGCAGATCGGGATGTCCCGCGCACGGCTAGAGGTGCCACAAGGTGGGGCTGCTACCACAGCTGATAGCAGCGGATTGCATAGCCAGAACATGGCTAGATCCTGGCCATCTTGAGTGGTTAGATCCGCAATCAAGGGGGCACACGCCGCAGACTCGATGTGTTTGTGGTCAATGCCATGGGCCGTGACTCCCAGGCGGCGGAGGCAGGCCGTGACACGAGATGTGCCAGCGAAGAGCTCGAACACAACGGGAGTGGCCGGTGCCTTGAAGACGGGGCGCGGTATCGGCACCATGGTCCCTTGTTGAATGACGTCACCTGTGGCCAGGTCGGGGGGGCTAAACCCTAGGGAAACCAATGTTGACTGATCAACCTCCGAAAGGGTCGCGAAATCGCGGACTACAAACCCGGCTAAAACTACCCGGTAACCATCCCAAGGCATGGTGGCATGCCGCTGATGGGCATCAAAAGTGATACATGTATTAGAGAGCGGCAAAAGCTCACCGCACAAGTGCGCGTGGGGCAGCGGCCCTGCATGCTCACCTGAAGGGCTTTCGAGCCACAGCTGGCCTTCTTTGAAGGAGGACACCCCAATCAAGAAATTTGGGAATCCTTTGGCATTATTTCGGTCTGCGTGCAGCGGTGTGAGCACCTGAGCCATCAGGGCCAAGGAAGTGAACGGCAACTCGTGTCCCCAACTCTTAGCATAAGCGGCTAGCATCCGACACACGGTCGGAAATTCATGACACGTGCGGCGCAGCCCCAACATGGGGCCTTGGACATAGGCACCGACACTGAAGGAAAAACTGGATTGGTAGGTGATGTCAGGATGTGATCTGGCGGGAGCTTCTGACGGCAACAAGCTTATGAGCTGTATTATGTCATCAGAAGTAATTCTAGGCTTACTGAGGCAAGCAGCTGCGAAATCCTCAGCGGTAGCATGCACTTGATCCTGTTGTGCACTGAGGTCTCCTGTCACGGTAGCTGCAGCTGAACAGTCATGGACGCGCTCAGCAGGATCATTAACCAAGACAGGATCGGTTCACGCTCCACCCGCGGCCGGACATTGGCCGATGGGGTGAGCTCCCTCGCACTTGGCACACACGTGGGCCCTGTTGCAGTTGGGATGCGTGCATCCCTCCAGATTGTACGCGAAGCAGATGCGCTGCCCCTGCTTTGTCATTGGCTTGGCTCCTTTCTGTCGCAAAACCAAGGGCATAGGAATGCTGCTGGCATCCTGGGCGCCCTTACCCTTCCCCGTTTTGCCCTTGCCTGGCTGTTTGCCCTTGCCTGCGCCTTTACCCCCTTTGGAGCCCTCATGATTACGCCACTTATTTGCATTGTCAACGTTGGCTGTATTCTTTCGCTTGTGGCCCGCCGGCAGGGGGACAAGCAAGGAGGACACCGCGTAGGATTCAAGAGCGACATGAAGTGCACGGTCCATGTCACAGGTTCCATCCGGGTTGGCACGGGGTCTTTTGTTTTCCTCAAGCATATGCACCCAAACGGCCTTGTCTGCCTGAATCAACTGCTCGATGCCGACGCGCTGGTGGTTCGCTGGGGCCGGTCTGCGAAAGTGCATCATAAGCTTAGCCAGGTAGCTTTCATACGCACTGAGGCTGACGCAATGTGCCATGACATAAGCATACCCTCTGCGTTTAAACCCCTCAAGCAATGCCAACGCACCGTGAACTGGTTGATCCGTTGTTTCTGCATGTTCACGCACTGCGATCTTCCCCGCCTCCACTTCAAGAACTTTCGACGGCTTATGGTGATTCAACAGCTCATGCTGGCGGGAAACACACTTCTTAATCGGAATGTGCTTGAAAACATTTTCGCGGTGTTGCTCACAAGTCAAGTCTAGCAATGAGTGTCCAGGCTCCATTGTTGAGTCGATGTGCAACCCAGGGTTAGCAGCCTTAAACATGGTCAAGCGTTGGGACTTTTCAGCCTCGGGTAACTTCTGTTTAGTGGTATTGTCTGGATCCAGGATTGACTGACGAAGTGCACTGAGCTGAAGGGTTTGCGACTCGAACAACAGGCGCTTGAATGCAGCAACATCACCCAAGGACAGCCCAGGGAGATTCGCCTCAAGCCACTCCTTCAAGACCTCTTCGGACAGGTCTTGACCGGGAGTCCCAATAAGATGCGCTGTGGTCCCCAGCGTTCTAACCCCCAGACCCTCTAACTTGCCCACGGTTGGCTGACTCAAGTTGATCTCCTTGCATCGTCGTTGGAAGTGAGCCTCAGAATCAAGGATGGCAGTCATTGCGAAATGCACGTCGGACGAGAGACTTAAGCTAACGTGTTCTTAGTTTGCACCACATGTTTTCTGTTGTCTTGTTGTGACCAAGTCGCATGACGCTCAACATGTCAAGACTCTCAGCCGGGACTGCGCGGGTGGTTCAGCAATGATACTCACATGCACTCCTAGGCTGCGCTCACAGACACTGCAAACCCTCAGCGAATACTGCGCACTCCGTCCGATTTCACGGCATAAGTACCGTGAGCTGCTCAACTTTTGTGCCCTCGCACGAGTCCCCTTGGACAAGCCTCTAAAGGCCGGCAGCTACCCGTCTACAGTTGTGACATGTGCCACTGACCTGCCCAAAACTTTTTGGGACGACATAATTCGATGTCCCAACTTTACCACATGCCAAAATGGCGTTTCCTCCCCCAGACCGTGCAATCACGTAATGACATTTCTTGGACTTCACATGTACAAGTGAGTCTTTCAAGCCCCACGGCCAGTCCTGCTTTTGGACCTTTTGAGCGGGCTGCTCATCTTCAGACGATGTTCCTGAGCTCTCAGCACTCTCGCTGTTGGATGAGGAGCTGGAATCCGAACTGATGTCCACAATCTCGCCCTGGCTCGGTATATCATCACAAGCGTCTGGCTCCGATTTAACCGCATCCTCAGACAGCTGGGGAAGTGCAGTGAAATACTCAGCACGTGAGTTGTCCGGTTTGAAGCGT